TCAAATATAAAACCTAATGTTACATATCAAGAAACTAGAAAAAGAAAAAGAAACTAAGGCCAAAGTAAAAAGAAAGAAGGAAATAATAAAGGTCAGAGCAGAAATAAATAAAACAGACTAGAAAAACAATAGAGAAGATCAACTAAGAGTATGTTCTTTGAAAAGATAAACAAAATCAACAAACATTTAGCTAAAATATATTGGAAAAAAAGAGAGAAGACTCAAATAAAATCAGAAGTGAAAGAGGAGACATTACAACTAATATCACACAAATGCAAAAGATAAGAGACTACTATGAATAATTGTACATCAACAAATTGGATGACTCAGAAGAAGTGAACAAATTTCTAGACATGTGTAATGAGCCAATATTGAATCATGAAAAAAATAGAAAATCTTAACAGATAACTAATGAGCAAGGAGATTGAAAACTCTTTCTTCAAAGAAAAGCCCAGGATGTGATAGCATCATTGCTTAGTTCTACCAAACATTTAAAGAAGATCTAATAACAAATCTCCCTCCAAATTTAAGAATTGTGGTACTTCCAAATTTATGTTATAAGGCCAGCATTATCTCAATACCAAAACCAGAGAAGGACATTATAAGAAAAGAAAATTACAGGTCAATATCCCTGATAATAATAGATGCAAAAATCCTCAAAAAAATATCAGGCAACAAAATTCAACAGCATAGTAAAAAGATCATTCACCATGATCAAGTGAGATTTATCCCTGGAATGCAAGGATAGTTCAACATATACAAATCTATAAATGTGATCCAGCACATTAATAGAATGAAGACCCCAAACCATATGATCATCTTAATAGTTGCAAGAAAAAATTTGACAAAACTCAATACCTCTTTATGATAAAGACTCATAATAGTAATTAATAAATAACGCATAAAAATTAGATATAGAAGGAATGTACCTCAACACAATGAAGGTTATATATGACAATAGCTAACATCATGTTTTTTCTTGAGTTGAGGTCTTGCTCTGTCATACAGGCTGGTATGCAGTGGCATAATCATGGCTCACGTCAGCCTTAACCTCCTGGGTTAGGGATTCTTCCACTTCAGCCTCCCAAGTAGCTGGGGCTACAGGCATGAGCCACCATACCCAGCTAATTTTTTGATTTTTATGTAGAAACGAGGTCTCACTATGTTTCCCAGGCTGGTTTCAAATTCCTGGGCTCAAACAATCCTCCTGCCTTAGCCTTCCAAAGTGCTGGGATTATAGGTGTGAGCTACTATGTCTGGTCAGCTAACATCTTATTTAACGGTGAAAATTTAAAATAATCTTTTCCTGTAAGATCAGGAGCAAAACAAATGTCCCCACTCTTGCCATTCCTTTCAACATAATACTGGAAGTCCCAGCCACAACAATTAGGTAGGAGAAAAAAAAAAATACATACAAATTGAAAAGGAAAAAGTTAAATTGTCCCTTTTTACAGACAGCATTCATAAAGAAAACCCTAAAGAGTTCATGAAAAACTGTTAAAACTATAAATTAGTACAGTAAATGTGCAGCATACAAAAATCAGTAGCATTTCTATACAGTAACAAAAAACTATATAGCATAGAAATATAATCTCATAATAGCTACAGAAAATACTTAGGAATAAATTTAAAGATCTATACACTGAAGACTATAACACACTGATAAAAAAATTGAAGATGGCATAAAAAAGTTGAAAGGTATTCCACATTCATTGACTGGAAGAATTACTATTTTAAAAATATCTATGCTATCCAAAGTAACCTACAGATTCAATGCAATCCATATCAACATTTCAATATTTTTCACAGAAATAGAAACAACAATCCTAAAATTTGTATAGAATCATAAAAAACTCCACGAGATAAAGCAACATTGAGCAAACAAATAAAGTTGGAGGCATCACAGTACTTAACTTTGAACATACATTACAAAGCCATAGTACTCAAAACAGCATAATACAGGCATAAAAACAGACACATAACCCAAATGGAACAGAACAGAGCCCAGTTATAAACCCACACATTTATGGTCAACTGATTTTTGACAAGTATCAAGAACACACAACAGGCAAAGGACCATTTGTTCAATAAACGATGCTGGGAAAACTGGATAGCCACATGTAAATGAATGAAATTGAATCCTTATCTCATATTACATACAAAAATAAATTAAAAATGGATGAAAGACTTAAATGTGAGACTAGAGACTTTAAAAATACTTGGAGGAAACATAAGGGAGAGGCTCCATGACATTAATCTGGGCAATGATTTTTTGGATATGAACCCCAACACACAGGCAACACAAGCAAAAACAGACGAATGGGATTACGTTAAACTAAAAGGCTTCTGTACAGTGAAGGAAGCAATCAACAGTGTGAAGAGACAACCTAGAGAATGGGAGAAAATATTTGCAAATCAAATATCTAAAATGCAAATCAAAATTACAATGAGATAATACCTTACATCTGTTAAGATAGCTGTTGTCAAAAAGATAGAAGATAGTAATGTTGGCGAGGATGTGGGGAACCCTTGCACACAGCTAGCAGAAATGAAAATCAGTATAGCCATTACAGAAAACAGTATGGAATTTCTTCAAAACCTAACAGAATTGCCATATGACCCAGCAGTCTCACGCCTGGGATCCAAAGGAAATGGAATCAGTATGTCAGAGATATCTGTACTTCTGAGTTCACTGCAGCGTTGAAAAAATTACAAAGTTTCAGTTAGACAGAAGGAATAAATTCAAGAGCTCAAGTACACAACAAGGTGATTCAATTTAATAACAGTTTGAATATCGCTTAGAGAGTCTACGTGTGCTCATCACAGATATGTGAGATAATGCATGTTATTTTACTCAGCTGAGCCATTCATAATGTATGCATATTTCAAAACATCACGTTGTACAAAACGAATATATACACTTTTTTTTGTCAATCAAAGAATAAAATAAAATTGCAGAGAAAGAATACAGTGGCAAATATTTTGCTGGATGGGAAGAACGTATAGTAAGTCAGTTTTGGTCAAGTTTTGGTATTTGTGGTTTCCACTAGTTATTACAGAACTAAATGTTCTGAATGACAATATAAACCCATATTGAAAATGCATTTCACTTGAATCTTTCAATGTTCCATAGTAACAAAGAGGAGTTTCACTTCCAGATGAGAGAAGAAGATGGGGATTGGAAGAAGAGGGAGAAAGTGCACCAGTCCTATCACGCCGAGCTTCTCCTGTGGGTGCCAAGTTTGACATAGGCTTCGCCTCGTTCTCACAAGAGTTGGTTTTTACGAAGTGGCTAAGTCACTCCCGTTTTGCAAATGAGCGTGTTGAGGTCAAGGGAATGACTTTTGCCAGAGGTCACACGGCACAGTGGGGCTGCTTCTCAAGAGAGCAGGCAACTCCAAAACCTGAGCTCTTTCCTTGCCCTTCCCTTTCAACCCTCCTGGGACTTGGGCTGAGAGCTTCCTCCCAGGTAGATCAGTGAATGGAGGAAAAGCCTCTTGACCACAGAGGTGCGAGGGGTCAGGACTGACTCCTTGTGGCAAAACGTGCCCCAGGCTCAGCCCCTCTCCCTCTGCCCCTCTTCCTCCGTCTTCTTTGTTTTAGGGCAGGATTTCTCCATCTTGGCGCTCTGCGATTGACATTTTTGGCTGAGTGACTAACCATCCCCATTGGCCCTGGACTGAGGGATCTACCAGGATCTTGGAGGCATTCTGCAGGGATTCAGTGCTAAACCAGGATAGTCCAGGGCAAACGGGATGACTGGTCACCCTACACGTGAAGCCGCATGTCCTGTGGTGGGAGAGAAGCATTACGTAGATGGTGAGGTTAGCTGGCAGTCCTCAGTTTCTCTAAGCTGTGTCTGTAACAAGCACATCTGCCTGATATTCCTTTCTGCCCCACATAGCTGCCAAGGGTGTAGGGGAAGTGTCCTACTCTGGGAAGCCTGGCTGAAGGACTGTGTGTGCCCTTGCAGGATTGAAGAGGACTGGCGTGAATGCTGGAGGGTGTGTGCGTCCGCGTGTGTTGAACCAAAGGGCTGGGAGAGGCAGCTAGGGACTGCTGGACCGCGGAGAGCCCATTGGAGCTGCCTGGGTAGACATTGCACACATGTTTACACCAGGAGTTAATGGGTACAGGATGAGGGAGGCTGTCAGTTCTATGTCAACTTAGCCTACGCCGGTGTGGTATGTGCATTTTAATCTCTGTGGCATTTTGGAATACTTTTATGCGTTACTCTGACAGCTTGTGGAGGGCATTTCCCTGATTAAAACAAATGAAAGGAGCATCTCAAAAATGACTCGCTAAAAGGGTAACATTTGATGTGTCATTGAGGACACCTTTTCAACGGCGATGAGTGCCTTGGTTCTTTGCAAATGTACACGGCGCTTCCTTCTCAAACATCATCTGTCCCTGAGCCTTCTGACCTTGGTGTCGTTCTGTGCCTCTTTACAAGATGAAAACACCTGAGTTCCTGAAGGCGGTAAGTGACGTGCTGAGGTCAGGGGCCAGGACGTTGAGTCAGACTCATGACCTCCGAACTCCACCCGACTGTGAGGGAATGAGTCGTGCATGTGTGCTCAGGCTGTGCCGGTGTAAAGCTGAGTGGCAAAGTGACAAGTGCAGACATGGAAGCTGTGAATCAGCCCTGCTAGCCATGGCTCTGACCATGGTCCTTCCCTTTCTGTGTCTTGTGGTGAGTGGGAGGATGAAGTGGTCCCGTGAGGGCTGGGGTGCCCAAGATCCATGGTTACCCGGTGCCAAGGTGCTGGACCCACTCTATCTGGACGCGCTCCCCGTGTGCTCTTTGACTCAGGTGTGGAGGGTGTGATTTGCTGTGTATGGTTGCTTGCGTGTTCCTTGATTATGTAAACCAGTGGCTTTTGCCAAGAACTCTCGGTGCCCTGAAGCTCCAAGCTGATTCCCTCCTATTGGCCGGCTTCGTTTCATTTTATTGGGAGGCGTGGCCATCAGGTTGCAGAGCTGTGATAACTCATTGCCAGTGTCTCTTAGGAGTGCATTACCTGGAGTTCGGGGACTCCCGTCGGTGACAATGACTGCAGACGAGTTGGTTTTCTTTGTGAATGGCAGAAAGGTAAGCGAGATCTGACCTTTGGTTGGGTGTCCCTGCTCCCCGGGAGGGATGTATGTCCTTTGGACGAGGAAAGTCTGGTTCTCTCTCTTCCCTGCTCCCCTGTACTTGTCCTCTCTTTCTCGCTCTCCCTGAGAAAAGCTATTGCAGTCTCTTGGTGACACTGGGGAGGACCCTCTCGGGATCGAGTGTAGGCAAGATGTGCGAGGGGCAATGGGGTAGGGGGAGGCGGTTGAGAAGGGGGGCTCTACTTGCCTGCCACGGACTCTCTGGGGTTGTGGGACTCTGGTGCAGAGCGAGAAAGGGGTCCAGAGCCTGAGTTCCAGGGGAGATGGTCACCTGCCACATCTCTACATCTGTGTTACATCAAACACATCAAAATACTTACATTGCTCTCTTTAGTGAGAGAAGGGACAGGTATGTACTTTCTGCTGCTATCAGGATATTCGATGTACACAGCCTTTGGTTCTGATATATGGTCTGTAGAGGTGTACCAGCCAGCCCTGCTTCACTGTGTTAGGATAGATGCTGACACCTTGTGGCAAGCCACATTTTTCATAAAGGGCATGCTCCCCCATCCCCTCCCGGACACACACACACTTAGTTTTACATGTGAGTCTTACCAATTCCTTACCCACTTGAATTAACTTCACAGGTGCACAGGGACCTAGAAAAGGGGGCATGGGTACCAGTCCTTGGGCATCGCAAGGGTGAGAGTCTCTACAGATTCCACTGCACGTGCACAGAGAGGGGGCATTCATGTGACAGAGTATCCAGCCTCCATCTGCCCCCCGATGACCCTGTGAAATGCTCACACCTGCTCTGCCCATTACTTGGGAGTGGGAAGGATGGTGAAAGACCAGTAAATTTGCATGTTGCAACTGGTCCCAGGGACGGCGTGTTGTGAATATGCCCAATGCACCCAAAGAGAGGGTATTTTATTTGTCTTGCTATATTGGCACTTTTTTTTGCATTGAGTTGAGAAACTAGATGACTTTCTAGGTCGTTTTCAATATCTAAAATGTGTCTTTTCATAAGATTCCTAGGACTTAAACCATCAGGGTGTGTTTGGGTGACTGTCAAGGGAATTTCATGAGCTGTTTCAGCATTAATACTCTAAGGACTGATTCTGATTGAGTGCTGCCATCAGGAAGCACTGGGGAATGGAGTCAGCCACATTCTTTCGGGTTCAGAGTCGTCTATCTGGGCTGCATCTTTTTTTCAGGGATGACACCCGTCATCAACCCAAGAGGTAGGGCAACTTTCCAAGTTGGCGTGGTGGTGGAGATTTTTGCATCCAACATTTCAGGCACCTTCTTTGCATACAGCAATTACATTGCAGAGATTTAGGAAATGGTTGTTGAATGGCCATCTAGAAGAACTGCTTACACAAAGCTATCCTCTCTGGAATTTTTATAAGTTATTTTTACATCGAGGAAACAGCTGGACCCCACGCCTTCCAATCACCAATTCACGTGTGAAAGTGTCAGCCTGCTCTTCTTAAGGAATGGTTTGCGGTGGGCACTGGATCTAGAGGACATTTCAAAGTATATCCGGCTTGGTGAAAAGGGGTTTCCCTTGTACTTTATTTTCACTTTGAGAAAGTAATTTTAATTCTCTGAAAGTATCATCACACCAAACCTTATTATCTCTGGAAACTTCTGCCACTGCCGGTTTCTCTTATGATCATCGTTGTTTGTAATTTGTAAAGATGTGACGTCTTGAGAAACTGCTGGAGAGGTAGGGAGGCAATGAAGGAGGCATGGAGTGAAAGCTGTAAAAGCAAGCACAGGTGAGGGGCTTCCTGAGCTGTGAGCTTGTCCCCATTGCTACTCCCAAGATATCCTAGACCTTTTGTTATGGGATCGTGTGCAAAGCTGTTACCAAAGAAGCGGCCAGATCCTGGTGGCTCCTTCTTAGATGTGAGCTCCCACTCTTCTTGTGTCATGCCCTCAGCAGGACTCAGTCCCGCTGGGGGCCTGCAGAAGGTGCTTAGTGCAAAAAGTCAGACAGCCCTGGGGCCTTCTGTGATGGCGACAGGCCCTGGGGACCTTTGCCCGCACACCGTCTCCTGTCCTGGAGTCAGGGTCAAAGGGAAAGAGCAGTCCTGGGTTTTATGACCCCTGGAATGGCGGTCCTGTTGGAGGGCCGTGCTCTGGTTTATCTGAGCAGTCATGGTGTAGAGGAGCTGGGGCACCGGAGGGAATCAGGGGATTCGGCAGCGGGGTGCAGCTGAGGGTGGCCAGAAGTGATCCCTGCAGGAAGCAGGTGTCTGCGAGGGAGAGCTCAGAGTGACTCCACTCGCTCTGCGCTTGCGTGTTCACCACTGGCTCCCTCACTCATTGCTCGCTCATTTACTCACTGAGTCACTCGCTTGTTCCTTCACTCGCTCTCTCGCTCGCTCACTCACTTGCTCACTCGTTCATCATTGGCTTGCTCACTCATCACTCCCTCGCCCGCTCACTTACCGCTTGCTCACTCATTCATTACCCACGCACTCACCTGCTCGTTCATTCACTCTCTCACTCCCTCCCTCATCACTCACTCACCGGCTCACTCACTCACGCACTCACCTGCTCGTTCATTCATTCACTCTCTCACTCCCTCCCTCATCACTCACTCACTGGCTCACTCACTCACGCACTCACCTGCTCGTTCATTCATTCACTCTCTCACTCCCTCCCTCATCACTCACTCACCCGCTCACTCACTCATGCACTCACCTGCTCGTTCATTCATTCACTCTCTCACTCACTCCCTCATCACTCACTCACCCGCTCACTCACTCACGCACTCACCTGCTCATTCATTCATTCACTCTCTCACTCACTCCCTCATCACTCACTCACCCGCTCACTCACTCACGCACTCACCTGCTCATTCATTCATTCACTCTCTCACTCACTCCCTCATCACTCACTCACCCGCTCACTCACTCACGCACTCACCTGCTCATTCATTCATTCACTCTCTCACTCCCTCCCTCATCACTCCCTCATCACTTGCTCACTGACTCATCACTGGCTTGCTCACTCACTCGCTCACTCATTGCTCACTCACTCGTAGTCTGCGTTTATGAAGTTCCTTCAGAGGCCTGCGGCGCTGGGATGCACGCTGGAGGAATCTGATCTCTACGGCCAGGCAGTTGCCGTCAGCAGCCTGCGGGCCGGTTGGAGAGAGGGATGACTATTAGGCAAAGAAATAGACTGCACAATATATTGAACAGAAAGCTAACCTCACGAGATCCTCTTCTTGGATGTTCTTAAACCACTTAGCACCAGGCTTGGCATCTCGTAGGTGCCCAGATCATGTGGATGGAATGAATGGATGAATAGTAAAAGCTTTGAGAAATCCTGTACTAAGGAGGTCTTTTAAAAATACTCGGCATTTTATAACTATTTTAAATTTACAGAAAAGTTTCAAGAAGGATACAAAGAAATATTAAATACCCTGTATCCACATTCACCAATTGCTAACATTTTGCCATATTTGTTGTCTCATTCTCTCTTTTTCTGGACACACACACACACACACACACACACACACAGCAGACGGGGGGAGAGATATGTACAAGTATATAAATAATTGTGTATATTAAGGTAGAAATTAATACAAATAAATACACAGATCAAAGTTTTTCTTTCTGGACCACTTGAGGGTAAGGTGCAGACATCATGTTCCTCTATCTCTTATCCTAAGGATAAATATATCCCCACACAACCACAGTCCATTTATGAAAATCAGGACACTCAACTTTGCTATAATACTATTATCCATAGACTTCATGCAAAATTGGCAGCATTTGTACTCTCTCAGTCCTGAGTCCAGGTCTGCGGCATGCAGTTGTCTCCTCAGATCTGGAACAGCTCCTCAGCTGTCCTTTGTCTTTTGTGACACTGGCGTTTCTGAAGAGAACAGGTCAGTCACTTCTTAGAATGCTCCTCACTTTAAGTATGTCTTGTGCTTTCCGGTAATTAGACTCAGTCTGCACCAAGAGCAGGAAGGCCACAGAAGTGATGCGTCTTTCTCAGTGCATCCGATCAGGAGGCGATGATGTCAGCTTTTCATTACTTGTGATGGGCACTTTGATCATTTGGTTAAGGCGTTAGCCACCAGGCTCCTTCACTGTGAGACAACTCCTTATGCCTGTGTAATTAATGTGGAATATGTGAGAAGACACTTTGGGACTCTACAAAAATCTTGTTCATCAAACCTTCACCCACTACCTTGAGCCTTCATCAATGATTTTTAACTGGATCAGTGATTGTGCTGGCAGTCTTCTGTCAGGAAGAGCTTTCCCTTCTCTTCCACTTATTTGTTTGTTTGTTGACTTGTTATCAGTTTGCACGCTCAGATTTTTTTTTTTTGAGTCAGAGTCTCACTCTGTTGCCCAGGTTGGAGCACAGTGGCCTCAACCCACTGGGCTCTGATGATCCTTCCGCCTCAGCCTTCCAAGTAGCCAGAACTACAGGCATGCGCCACCACACCCAGCTAATTTTTTGATATATTGTAGAGACGAGGTCTCACCAGATCATCCAGGCTGGCTTCGAACCCACGGGCTCAGGCAATCCTCTCACCTCGGCCTCCCAAAGTACTGGGATTACAGGCTTGAGCCACTGTGCCCAGCTTGCACAATCTCAGATTTTAATTTTGTTTAATGAGTTATAATCCATTATGACCATTCTTTCTTTTTGTATTTGTGTCTTACCAGAGCAATCTGCTTAACCCAACATTTCCTAAACTCACTTCCCTACAAAGTGTTTCTCCATTGGGATACTCACTGGCACCCCATTGAGAGAGTATCCCATGGGGTGCACCATGGCAAGCCCTGTGACCACGTGAGAGTGGCAAGACTAGCTCCTGTAGGAATTCACGACAGGGTGGACCACCTGTGACTGGGGGTATGGAAAGTATTTACTGAGGAATTGCTTGGGTTCTTCTGATAAGTCAAGGTGGCAGCAAAGAGGCCCAGGAGTTGGAAGGTATAAGATATATTGTCAGAGCAGTAAGATGACCGGCTTGGCAGAGAAACAAGAGGGAGATAGGCTGACATGAAGATTGAGGACACATTGAGAAGGCCTTGAAGGACAGGAACTTGGCTGTGACCCTGAAAGTGTGGGCATCATGGAAGGCACCAGGCAGGGACTGATGTGATGTGGTAAAAGCAGAACTGAGGGACAGGCGGAGGGAATGCTGTGGTGGCAGCTGAGAGGCTCTCACTGTCTTCTATGAGACGGGTGGTAAGGATTGTTATTTCACGCGTTTATGGCTTCTATGATCTGTAACCAGGATGTTGAACAAGCTGGACTCGCGGGTGTAATCACACAAGAAAATTAGTTGTGTCTCCCACTTTCCCTTAAGCTTTATTCAGAGGGCAAATTCTGGCAGTCTCATGAGTTTTTCGATCACTCTCAGTCAATAAAAGCATTCCGTGGGCATTTTTAAATTGCCCAACGCAGTCTCAGTTGAGACAGTGTAGCGTAACGTGGCTCCGCTTTCGGGGCATTTCAGGTGTCTGGACTGAGACTTCTCTTCCTCTTGTGATGACGTTTGGGACTCTTCAGGGGCCACGCCGGGGAATACTCTCTTGCAGGTCCTATGACATGAGAGATGTGCTTTTCTCAGGCCAGCTGCCCCTACCCCATCCACTGGTTTTGAGAGGTTCACTCCACACAGACTTTCCTGGAGGTTCCGTCCCCCACTCTGGGCTATCATTCTGGGAATGGTTTAAACACTTCCAAGCCAGCTCTCTCTGTCTCTGTCTGGGAATGGTTTAAACACCTCCAAGCCAGCTCTCTCAATGGCCTGTGCCAGGTCTGTGGCCAACTTCCACATCCAACTTCCACTTGCTCTACTGAGCCCAGTGCAGCCATCTCTTCAGCTTAAGTCTCAGGAGGAGTTTAAACATGTCACCGTTGGGCCAGCTGTGGTGGCTCACGCCTGTAATATCAGCACTTCGGGAGGCCCTGGCTGGGGGATCCTTTGAGGCCAGGAGTTTGAGACCAGCGTGAGCAACACAGCGAGACTCCCATCTCTACATGTCAAATAAAATAAAATTAAAACAAGCATATCATTGTTAGTCATCGATTGCATGTTAAGCGTACCTCTGGCTGTTTAGAGAAGCCAGTTCAGAGAAGCCAGACCAGCATAACCCCTCGAGAGCAAAGGTGATGTGTTAGTTTACCAGGGGGTACAAAGGAAATCCTCCCACTAAATGTGCTCTCTTCCACTCGGGGAAGGTGTGGTGCTCACTGTGCAGTTTTCTCTAAAGAAACCCTTCCCACAAATTATTTTCATGAATCATCCCAGCAACCCGCTCCCTTTTCAGCCTCGATGACAGGCGCGGAGTAGGAAAATAGGTCTTCATAGACGTCCTCAGACAATTCACACTGGAAACTGACCCCTCACTTCATGGACAACCTTTTCCGCCTTGTTGAACCTACTCATGGGTCTTCGGTTTGAGATTCCTCCTCCATTTCCAACATGTGTGTTCGTGTTGTTGACTGTGACTGTTCATCACGTCCCATACTCAGCTCTGAGCACAGGACACCGGCCTGGCTTCCCACAGTCACACACAGGGTCACAGATATGTACCAGAGACCCAGAGCCAGGGGTCTGTGCATTGGGCTCCCAGCTGGCCTTGGCGCTCACAGGTGTGACCCCACGGTAGACCCGAGAGGACGTGTTTGGTTTAAGGGGCTTTGCCTGGGTGGGCCCAGAGTGGCAGGTGCAACTCCTGAGTGTTGAGGGCTGGGTCCTGACCCAGCACTAAGTGGAATTTTAGGATGTAGGGATGTGAATACGTACTTAGCTTGGCTTGAATGTGTTCATTCTTACGCAATTGCCAGGAAAAATACCTCGATTTTCGTAATTGACTTAACACATTAACCCTACAAATTCTTGGGTGAGTCATTAAAGAAGGAAATGACTTGCAGATGGATGGTGAAGGATGCCTATGATATACTTTTCTTTCTGTTTTTTTAATAGGTGGTGGAGAAAAATGCAGACCCAGAGACAACCCTTTTGGCCTACCTGAGGAGAAAGCGTATCCTGACTTTGGAGTGGGGGTGAGGGAGAGTGGGTGATGGGGACTCTTTCTCCAGGTCTTATGTCATTTCCTAGTGACCGGTGAGGTGGCCGTGAAGGGCAGAGGAGAGAGCACTGGATTGGGAGTCGGGACAATGCATTTCAGTTGCAGCTGTGGTCTAAATCCTCGGCTGTGGGGTGAGAGGATTGTTGGGATGCTCTTTGCGATGTCACCCTACTGACTCTGGTAATGCCAAGGTTCACTCCTGGGCCTGTTGAAAGGCCCTTGTTAGCCCTGGTGAGCTTCAGGGTCAGGCCCCCTTGGCAGGAGGGGACCCTTCCTTAGGTGACATTTGCTCTGTACATAAATGGACTTCCTGGGGAATGTTCTGGGCTCTGCTGAGGTGGCGGGAAACAAGGGAAGGGGTGTCCATGGGGAAAGGATGCCTGAGGGGGGAACTGTGGGGGGAGGCGCTATCTGTTGTGAAATCAGCAGACACGGATGCTGCTGTGGGTAGGAAACTCCCTGGAGGGATGTGGGTGCTGTCTTCATTCAGTGTGGGGAGGTCGCCTGTAATCCCCCGCATCTTTCATTCTTTCAGAGGAGGAGAGTGTTCTAAGACCTTGAAACAAACAAAAAAACAAAAAATAGCAAGAGTAATGGAAGCTAGCTTTTAATGAGCACCTACTATATGCAGGCAGAGTTTGCAGTGATTCGACAGCTCAGCTCACTTAATCCCCAGGGCAACCCTGTGGAAGTGGGGTGCTTCCTTTTGACAGGGGAGGAGGGGAGATCTGGGTGCATTCTGTGACCCACCTTTTGCCAGTGTGTTCTGGGAAAGGCCTGCACCAGAGCCAGGAGCCAACTCTGACCCTTTTACCACACTGGAGACTCTCCCAGGGTCTGTCGCCAGGACCACGCTCTTCCTGACCTCTGTCGATGAACCCCTCTAGCTGCAGAGGGCTGTCTGGGGACTCTTTCCAGTGACACATCTGGGGACCCCAAGGGGTTATTTCAGCACCCACAAGAGTGAGCCTGGCAGCCCCGGCCTTCACCCTGGGTTGTCCCCTCCTGCCATGCACGGCGCTTGGCTCAGGCGTACTTTGATCTGGAGTTCTGAACGAGAGAGGGCGGGTCTGGAGGTTCACAGCAGATGGATCTGGTGGCTTTTTTGCAGTGCAGGAGTCACCAGACAGGGTCAAGGGACGGTGGGGAATGCAACTTCTACGGGGTCTGGGAAGAGAAGCCCGTTCTCAGAGATTGTTGAGCTCAATCCTAATTTTCTAATAATAACCCTAGTGTTAGTTTTCTAATCATTTCAATTTTAGTCTTGAAGGCCCAGACGCCTCAGAAATTCCCTATCACGGCAATTGGCGGGCTTAAAGGTCAAATCTCAGAGAAAGTCAAAACTGAAAGCTGGCACCGGAACATGATGTCCTTGCGGCTGTTTGAGTGGATCTGGGGTGTTCCAGGCGGGAGAGGAGACCTCAGCCTGACCTCCACTCCAGCTTTCAGAAAGGTCTCCAGGCCGGAAGCCCTTGCGAGACTTTGGGCCACCACCACTCATCACGTGCCCCCAGAGTTGGGAACTGCTGGGATCTGCACACACCCTGGCTGTTGAAGGGACTCACACAGGATACAGGGAGTTCCCCTATTTGCTAACCCTACTATTGTGAAGATCACACAGGTACTTGGGTATGAGTGCTTTTTAAGTATGAGATGTTATAGAATTGCTTGTTATTAATTTTGTCTTGAAGACGAGGGATGTGACCGGGTGATGATAGTGCTGGTTCCCTCCACCTCCGGGAGATAGCAATGGCTCACAGCCCTGCAGACCTGCAGGAAAACACACACGTTCTGTGTGTCTCTGGGGTCATGATCGCATGGTGTTCTCAAATAGTCTACTCGTGAGGCACTTTTACAGTGCAAAGTATCGGAGTATCATTCTGCAAGTGATGTTAACATTGGCCCCGGATTGGTCCCTGACTCCCCAACTTGTCCTTCTAATTTCCATCCACACATCTCATGGGCCCCCCTGGTCCTGGGACTTTGTCAGCCAAAAGGAGCAGAGAGAAAAGCCAGGACTCAGTAGGTCCCAGAAAAGATCGATGTCTGGTGCTAGCCTGAGTGGCTTCACGGCATGCCCACCCAAGGGTGATGCCAGGGCAGCCCCATGGGCTCAGCCTTTGAAGTGCACAACCTCCCTGCCCATGAGACCACGCCGGGCAGACTCCCACCCCATGAGAAGGAAATGACGAGCCCCAGAACTTGAGTGCCGTCTGTCCGTGGCACCCTGAAGCTCTTCTGGGCAGTGGGCATGGCCCTGTTCCCTGCAGGGCCTTGGAAGGAGGTGTCCGTGGGTCTGCTGCTCCCGGGTCAGAGCCTGAGCCCGTGTGAGGGACGGGATGGTTCTACCCATGGGCTCTTCCGGTGGTTCCCAGCAGTCCTGCATTCATGTTCCTTAACCCTGGACCGCCCAGTGGGGCTGAGCGGGACCAAGCTCGGCTGCGGGGAAGGTGGCTGCGGTGCTTGCACGGTGATGCTTTCCAAGTATGATCGCTTCCAGAACAAGATCGTGTATCCTTTGCCTGCGGGCTGGTCAGCATGCGGGGACTAGGGTGTGTGTGTGTGTGTGTGTGTGTGTGTGCATACTTGTGCATGTGTGTGAGCCACTGTGTTTTCAAGCAGGATCTGATTATGATGGGGAACTGCAGAACAGTGTCTTAGCAAGTGTGTTCCAGGCAAAGGAACTCTGACCAACTCTGAACTGCTGATGAAATGACTTTTTTAAACCCCAGGCCCTCGTCACACTCAGCAAATCCTTCCGTAGCCCTCTGTCAGCCCCTGAACCAACCAGCATCTGCTCAGCAGCCAAGACCCTGCGCAGTATACCCCTCCCTGCCTGGCTAACTCTTACTAGCTCTTTAGGATTGGGCCAAAGTACCACCTTCTCCAGGAAGCCTTCCTTGATCTCCCAAGATTAAGTGAAGTGCCCCTTTTCTATGCTGGGCCCACAATGTCCTAGGCACAGCCTTTTCAAAGCATTTGCCTTAAGAAAATGACAACAAAAGGTAAAAGGTAAACTGAGACACAATCAAAACAAATTTTTTTAAGTTTATTTGAACAAACAACAATTCATGCCTTGGGCAGCTCAGTGGAAACACAAGAAGGAGGCTTTTATAGGATGGGCACAAAAGTAAAATGAAGACAAAGTTTGACTGGTTACAGTTAGATAGTTACTTTCTCTGGTCTTTGGAAAGTACCTAGTCCCAAGGTTTTTTGTTTTCGTTTTTGGTTTTTTTTGACAGAATCTTGTTCTGTCACCCAGGCTGGAGTGTCACTCAGGTGCAAGCCTATAGCTCATTGCAGCCTCAGACTCCTGGGATCAAGTGATCCTTGTGTCTCAGCCTCCCCAGGACCTGGAACTACAGGTGTGGAACTACAGGACCTGGAACTACAATGCCTGGCTCATTTTTAATATTTTGCAGAGATGGAGTCTCACTATGCTGCTCAGACTGGTCTCAAACTTCTGGCCTCAAGTGACCCTTCTACCTTGGCCTTCCAAAGCACTGGATTACAGTCGTGGGCCATGGCAGCTGGACCCCGGTTCTATAACTACAAGTCTGTTGACTACTGATTGGTTGAGCTGAAGTCCTGTTTTTCTTTAATATGGGGGTTTACAAATAATAGCTCAAGTTTCGCCTGTGTTTGTAAACCCAGCAGAGTTGAGGTCACTGCTGAGGCCTAACTGGTCTCGTCTGCTCAGAGATTCTGCCTGGATTTAATTTGCTTGAATAAAGTTCAGATTGCATCTTCACATTGCCTCTGTTTTCCGACTGACTACAGGCTACCAGAGGCCAGAGCTGTTTTCTTCACCTTTACCTCCTCAGTCGCCAGCAGAGTGCGTACATGGTGTTCGAGGGTCTATCCTGGAATGAGTGGGGGCGGGAGAGGGTGCCTGGAAGCCCTAGATGAGGGGCCGGCATCTCACACCGATTTGAGAATTTTCCTCCCTTCCCCCACAACGAACTGGGAGAAATGGAGCTGGGTGAACTCAGGAAAGAGGATGAGGGGAGGCCCTGACACAGAGGCTGAGCAAGGGGCCCGCAGAACCAGGCTGCTCCGAGGCTCCGAGGCTGCCAGGAGCTCCCTGTTAGCTCAGCCTCCAGGTCAGCTGAACGTGACCCTGGCTCAGGCCCTGACTCTGCAGTCCTCGGGAGGTCCCGGCCTCACCTGCAGAAAGAGCTTCCCTTTTCCCTCGCCCTGTCTTGTGTGAAGAGGCGAGGGCAGCGACAGGAGACACAGGGACATAATTTAGAGCGATGAGACGTAGCCTGAAGCCTCACCGAGCCCCCAGGCCCGCACTCGGGTTCCGGCTTGACCTTAACCCGGGCTCCTAGCCACTTTTCCACCAACGCCTGCCTGGCCCCCATCTGCTCCCTGCACCACGTTGCTGTGACGACCGTGGAAGGCATCGGAAGCACCAAGACCAGGCTGCATCCCGTGCAGGTAACCTGAGGGGAGGGCGCCGTGCTCTCGGGGTCGGGCCGTGTGTTCCCTGGGGAGGCTCATGCCAAGGTTGCAGGCTTGCTTTGGGCCATTGGGCAGAGTTTCACCGCCTGGGCATCATGTCCATCCACCTCCCCATTCCCTCTGGGCACTGGGAGTGGGGAGAAGGAGGTACTTAAGCCCGTAACTTTTCCTGTGACCCGGATGGATGTGACATGGAGTGACCCCGGGGGACCCCAGAGGTCAACTGACTCTGGTGGCCAGGGCAGTCCAGCTGTGCCAGAACTGGGAGGCGACGGGCAGCGGGGCGTCCTCACCCTGCTCCCAAGCCTGCTTCCCAGACCCTGAGTTCTCCTGCTCCTTGTTTAAAGCCTGCCTCCCCCTTCCTCCCTGGAATGGCAGTTCCAGCCTCAGCGCTTACCCTCATGCACAAATGATACGGATGAAGACTCTAGGCCTCCAGAAGGAGCTAAGTGAGATAGGAAGGGCCTTCTCTCCATGGAGCCAGGCCGCCTGGAGGTGGATTGGAATAGGGCAGCGGCAGTCTTAGGGGTTTTGTGGAGAGACCGGGATGCTCCCAGGCCAAGAGGAATCGTGGGGAGCAGAGCACTGTGGGAAGGGAAGGCCACTGCTCCCAGGCATCCTGTTCGAGGAAACGGGGACCCCTTGGGAGATTGTAATCACAGGAGGCCTCAGAGCCTAGGCCTCAATCCCCCCTTGACTGCTTGAGGAGACGTGCCGTGAGGAGATTGTGCCCTTCTCAGATGTCCTTCATGATACTCTGAAGCCCACTCCGACTGAGTGAGCTTTTTTAAATCTGGGGAGAGCACGCAGGGCAGTCCTGGAGGTCGGGGCCGGGTGGGAGTGCTGTCACCTCCACCGCCTGTTTCCCAGGCAGTAAGAGGGGAAACTGATACCTTGTCTAGCCCCCAGGAGACGTGAGAAGGTTAACTAGGGCTTGCTATCTTTTTAAAGCCAATCAGTGAATGAAAAAATGAGTAGTTTGGCCACCTCTGGGTGCTGGGAGGCAAGAGGAGGAGGCACCCAAGCCCATAGCTTCTCCTGTGACCCAGGTGGATGTAGTATGGTGTGACCCTGAGGGACCCAAGAGGTCAACTGACTCTGGTGCCCAGGGCAGTCCAGTTTATTCCTAATTTTTGGCTCCAAATAAGCCTCAGAACCAGATTCCACTTCCTGTCCACCAACTGTTCTTCTCTCGGCTCTGTGATACCACTCTTTCCTGTGTGTCCTCCTGCCTCTGTGTCCCTAAATACCGCCCTGCTCCAGGGTCCAGCTCTGGCCCCTCCCCAAGTGAGTTTGATGCCATCTACATGCAGCTGGCACCCACACCTACCTCTTCTGCTTTGACCTCTCCTCAGACGCTAGACTGGCATTCCGAGCTGCCTACGTGATCACAGTACGGTGTCTCACCTCAAACGTAACAACACCTCACTTCCCCTAGTCTTTCTTCCCCTGCTTCTTCCGTCTGAGTCAATGGCAAAAACCTGTTGCTCAAGAAACAAACCTAGACGTGGCCTTTGACTCTCTCTCTCACATGGCCACACCCAGTCTGTGCAGAAGCTGTCTTCTGCCTCCCACATCCCTGCTCTCTGGAGGGTCCTTCCTGCCCTCTGCAACTGACTCTGGCTGGCCACTTGCCCTCTGTAGGCTCAGCACTGAGCAATGTGCATGGCTACCTCCATTCATCTTTGCCACACCTCCAGGGGCAGGAACCAGGATGGTCCCCTTCTTACAGCCACTGGGCTCAGAGGGGGTCAGTGACCTGGCCAAGGCTGCCGTGGGTCAGTGATGTCCTGGACTTGACTTTGCGCAGTGACCGCCACCCCCACTGCCTAGCGACATGGTTGGCTCCAGTTTTGTCCTGCGGGGAGCCTGGGAGGATTCCGTCAGCACAGGCATCTTGTCATCCGCCCCTTTTAGGAGAGAATCGCCAAAAGCCACGGTTCCCAGTGTGGCTTCTGCACACCTGGCATTGTCATGAGCATGTACACGCTGCTCCGGAACCAGCCCCAGCCCTCCATGGAGGAGATTGAGAATGCCTTCCAAGGTACGGGCCTTTGAACAAGGCCCAGCAGGCGGGATGGCTGACAGGGCCCTGCAGAGGCCAGGGCAGGGCTGGGGTGAGTGCCAGGATTGGGTTGGGAGGGCGAGGGACCGCCCTTTGGAGGAAAGGCTCAGGCCAGCCCACTGGGTGGTTCCGGTCTGCCAGAGAGTTGGCCTGTGCTTAGCATGGAGAGTGCATGGTGGGGATGGAGACCTCCTGGTGTCCTCAGGGCTCCTCTTCCTTGGGGGAGGGTCTTGCTGCCTCTCCCAGTGTTGGACTGAGGTTGGGCATAGGTAGCCGGCACAGGAGAACATTGTTTGGGAGACTCCACAGAGGCTAGGGACACGGCACCCCTCCCTCTCAGTTGGCCACATAGGATGGTGCCAGGATTCTGAGCCCCGGGCAGAAGCCGACTCCCGTAACCTACTGTGAACGGGCTCAGGAACTTGTGCCATGGGTCTGTTTCTCTGAATCAAACGGAGAAGGCTCCCCAGCTATTCGCTGTTTCAATCTATCATTTATTCAATCAATTATTTTAAGTCCTAGCCTGTGTCAGGCATTATACAATGTACAAGGATAAAATACACAGTCCCTGCGCTCAAGGAGTTCACACCCTGTAGGGGAAGAGCACTTATAATGCAGTTTGATAAACTCATCAATAAAGTCACGAGCAGGCACCGTGGGGGCACTTGGGGCGGGGGGCATCCAAATTGGTCTGGGCTTCTAGGAAGGCTTCCTAGAGGAAGTCAGGAGTATGAGGAGGAGAGGTCTTCCAGGCAGAGGTAACAGACTGTGCCATGGCGGCCTGGTAGGGAGAGTGCCAGCCTGAGACAGGAGCAAAGCCACACACCCCTCTCCTGCCGGGGCCTGCACTGATGGCGCAGCTTTCTCCTTGGCCCGCAGGAAATCTGTGCCGCTGCACAGGCTACAGACCCATCCTCCAGGGTTTCCGGACCTTCGCCAGGGTAAGTGGCCCAGAGCGCCGTGTCCCTGCTCCTGAACCAGCAGCACTCGGAAATCACGGTTGTGAGGGCTGCCACGGCCTCTGGTCTACACAGAAGAAGACTAAGACAACTGGCTAAGACTAAGAACTGACAACTAAGTTCCCTGCTGGGACATCTGGCACGGGGGGTGGCCTCTGCTGCTCTTATTCAGGGAGGATCTTATCAACAACATCCTGCCCATGATGGTCTGGAGGGTTAGGGTTAAGAGTTATTGCTAGGGTTTAGGGTGATGACTTAGGGTTAGGGGTTAGGGTTAGGATGGGTGTTAATGTCTGGAGTTAGAGTTGGGGGTTAGTGTTAAGGTTAGGGGTAGGGTGAGGGGTTATGGTTAGGGCCAAGGGTTAGGGCTAGAGCTTAGGGTTAGGGTTAGGATTAATCCTGCTTCCTAGAAGAGGCGAACTGCCCAAGTGCAAGGACTAGGGCTAGGGAGAGGGGTTAGGGTTCGGGTTAGGGTTAAGTTTGAGATTAGGGGTTAGGATTAACCCTGCTTTCTGGAAGAGGCACACTGCTCAAGTGCAAGGGTTTGTGTTGGGGATAGGGTTAGGTTTAGTGTTAGGGTTAAGGTTCGGGTTAGGATTTACCCTGTTTCCTGGAAGAGGCTCACTGCCCAAGTGCTAGCTTCCTCCAGTGCTTTTGGGCTGCCAGATTTCTCCTGGAGACCAGTAGGATGGGCTCATGGTGCAGGTCTGAATGTGGCATTTTACAACAACCCAGCTTGGCTTGGCACTCACGCCTCCACCTTCCCTCTCTTTCCTTGTGTCTCTGGCTGGCCCTGTTCTGGGTTTTTGACCCCAATCAACAAATCTTGAGTCAGTTTGTGAACTCCTCAGTATTTATATGACCCCGTGCGAGAGGCCGCAGCTTGTGTGTGAACATTGATTATATTAACACAAACACACACCAGCCACCTGGCAGGGAGGGCAGAGGGCAGAGGGCTGGTGTCTTCTTTCTTGGCTTGATCCCTCAACTGGGTCAAGTTCATTGAGGTTCCAATCACATCATCTCACTTTAGTTTAACTCTGGGCGCCCAGGGGAGGTTTCTCACCCACCTTTAGGGCTGTCACTTCAGGAAAATGAGTGTTGTGTCCAAATAACCCAGGAAGGGCGGGGGTGGTGGGGTGGTGGAGACGTAGATAGGGCCTCTTAAGAATGGAAAACATAGCTGGGCTCGGTGGCTCAGCCTGTAATCCCGCGCCTTTGGGAGGCTGAGGTGAATGGATTGTCTGAGCCCGCGGGTTCAAGACCCGCCTGGGCAGCGAGACCTCGTCTCTAGAATAAATCAAAACATCAGCTGGGCGTGGTAGCGCTGCCTGTAATTCCGGCTACTTGGAAGGCTGAGGCGGAAGGATCGCTGGAGTCCAGCAGGTTGAGGCTGCAGTGGCCAAAAGCGGCCACTGCACTCCAGTCTGGGAGACAGAGTGAGACTCCAACTCAAAAAAAAAAAAAAGAATGGAAAACATCACACCCTGCTTCCCACTGCTGCTGCTGAGGAAACAGGCAGTATGGGATTAAGTGAAAATGATTGAAAGCACAGATTCCAGGTCTGCAGACCTGGGATCAAACCTTATTCCAGCACCTCACGGATGCATGACCTTGGGTAAATTTCCTTGTTTCTAAAATACTGATGACAATACCTACCTTGTTGTGTTTATAAAATGTAAGTACTTCCTGTAAAGCTCCTAGAGCCATGTCTGGCACATTTCAAGTATTCCATAAACGGCGACTCTAAATTGTGACACTCACTGGTCTGTTTCCTCCCCTGCTTTATGTAATCTTCATAAATTAGTCAGGCTTCCCCGAGAACCAGGGAGTGTTCATCTCACCCGCATTCACCTCACAGGAACCTGTGCAAAGAGATACCATCTAACCAGTCCTCCTAGTTTCTCAAAAGTGAAGGACTTTTGAGTACCAGATGATACACTCCCTCCCGGAAATTGAAATGGCTTCTCATTCCACGGCTCAGCTCATACCCCTCAATCCAGCTGCCTCCTCCACACCCTACCAAGACATAAACTAAAGGCCTATTTATTTTGTCTTATTTTATTTTTGAGTCAGGGTCTTGTTTTGTCATCCAGGCCAGAATACAGTGGTGTGATCACAGGTGTTCTTTGCAGCCTCAAACTCCTGGGCTCAAGTGATATACTCCCACCTCAGCCTCCCTGGTAGCAGGGATTACAGGCACCACTGCATGGAGCTAAGATTTTTTATTTTTTGTAGAGGTGGAGTCTCACTGTGTTGCCTAGGCTGATCTTGAACTCTTGAGCTCAAGTGATCCTCCTGACTAAAGGCCTCTTTATAGCAGGTATTTTTATCTAGCACATTGTGTTTGCCTTTTAACAACAAAAAAAGATAAGCCCTGCTCAAAAGAAAACAGAATTTGAAGAGACTGAACAAGCAGCAGAATCAGACTCGGATAGGGCAGGGATGCTGGAATTATCAAACCAAGCATTTTATAAAACTGTGATTAGTATGTTAAGAGTTTCAATTAAAAAAATAGACAATGTACAAGAAGAAATGGATAAGGTAAGCAGAGAATGGAAGTTATGAGAAAAAAACCAAAAAGGAATGCTAAGAATAAAAAATGCTATAACAAATCAAAGGCTGCCCTTGATGGGTTCATTAGTAGAGTGGACATGGCTGAGGAAGGAATCTCTGAGCATTAGGATATGGCAGTGAAGATTGTCAGAATCAAAAAAACAAAGATAAAATGGAATGGAATGGAAATAAAAGCAGAACAGAAAATCCAGGAACGGTGGGATAACTATAAGAGGTGTAGCATACATGTAATGGAAATATCAGAAGAAGGAAAGAGAAAAGAAAAAAAGCAACATCTGAGGCAGTAATGATTGAGAATTTCCCAAAACAAATGGCAAGCTTCAAACCACAGAGCTAGGAAGTTCAAGGAACACCAAACAAGATAAATACCCAGAAAACCTACCACCACTACCATCAACAAACCCTGCACCAAGGTATATCATATTGAAACTTCAGAAAATCAAAGATAAAGAAAAACGTCTTATAAGAAGCCAGAGTAAAAACATACCTTACCTAGAGAAGATCAAAAATAAAAATTTCATTTGACTTCTCCCGGAAACCATGTAAGCAAGAGGAGAGTGGAGTGAAATATTTAAAACATTGCAAGAAAATATAAAAAACCCTAAAAGTCTATAGCCTACAAAAGTATCCTTCAAAAGTACAAGAGAAATAAAGTCTTTCTCAGACAAACAAAAATTGGGGGAATGTGTTGCTGGCAGACTTGCCTTGTGATAAATGTTAAAGACGTTTTTCAGAGAGAAGAAAAATGATACATGTCAGAAGCTCAGATCTACACAGAGAAAGGAAGAGCATTGGAGAATGAATGTGAAGGTAAAATAAAAACTTTTATTTCTCTTCATCTTAGTTGATTTAACAGATAAGAGTTTGTTCAGAATAATAATAGCAAAGAAGCATTTGATTATGTGTACATTTGGATATATATGTGTATATATGTGCTTATGTGCAAGTAAAATGAATGACAGCAATGATTAAATAAGTAAGAGGAGCAGCTAGGGATACTTTGTGATCACGAGGTGCTTTGTGATCACGAGGTGTACCCATGAAGTGGTGTAGTGTTATTTGGAAGTGGGCTTTGATTCGTTGTAAATGTATACTACAAACTCTAGAACAGCTACTATAAAAAGAAAAAAGAAGCAGCATTATCGATATTCTAAGAGAGAAGAGGAAATAGAATCACATGCAATGCTCAGTTAAATCACCAAAGTCAGAAAGTGTGTGAAAGGCAAAATAGGGACAGGGAAAACAAAGGCAACAATAGAAAATAATAAATGTGGCAGATACTCGTTCAGATATCAATGATCACCTTAAATGTCAATGATCTAAATATGCCAGTTAAAAGACAGAGATTGTCAGAGTGGATCAAAAAACAAGACCCAACTGTGTACTGTCAATAAGAAATCCACTTTAAATATAAAGACATATGTAGATTAAAAACAAATAGTTGGAGAACGATAAACCATACTAATACTAGTCAAAAGGAAGTGGGAGTAGTTATATTAACTTTGAACAGAGCAGACTTCAGACCAAGGAAAGTTATCAGGGAAAAACAGGGTCATTACAAATGATGAAGGGATGAACACTCCAAGACGTAACAATCCTTAATGTGTATGCACCTAATATCAGAGCTACAAAATACATGAGGCAAAAACGGATAGAACGGCAAGGGTAAGTAGATGAATCCACTCTCATAGGTGGAGACTTTAGCACCCTTCTATCAGAACTGGGCAGATCCAGTAAGCCCCAAATCAGGAAGGACATAGTTGAACTCAACAGCACTGTCAATTAACTTTACATAATTGACATTTATAGATGACTGTAGCAAACAACAGCAGAAAAGACATTCTTCTCAAGCTCACATTCGCCTAGATGGACCACATTCTGGGCTGTAAAACACATCTTAACAAGTTTAAAATAATAGAAATCAGTAATAGAATTATAGCTGCAAAATCCCCCAAACACTTAGAGATTAAACAAAACATTTAAAAATAACATGTGGGTCAAAGAAGAAATCTCAAAGAAAATTTTAAAGTATTTTGAACTAAATGAAATTGAAAATACAACTTATCAAAATTTGTAGAATACAGTGAAAGCAAAGCTTAGAGGGAAATTTATAGTATTGAATGCATATATTAGAAAAGAAGAAAGATTTAAAATCAATAACCTAGGCTTCTACCATAAGAAACTAGAAAATAAAGGCAAATTAAATTCTGAGTAAGCGTAAGAGAACACATGCAATTTAGAGCAGAACTCAGTGGAGTTGAAGACAGAAAATCAATGGAGAAAAATCAACAAAACCAAGGCTAGTTCTTTGAAAAGATAAATAAGATTGACAAACCTCTGGCCCGAGTAAGAAAAAAAGAGAGAAGATACAAATTTCTAATATCAGAATTAAAGAGAGAATTGCTATAGATATCATGGACATTAAATAGATAATAAAGGAATATTAAGAACAACTCTGTGCCCACAAATTTGACAGCTTAGCTGAAATAAACCAATTCCTTGAAAGACCAAAACTACATACACAGAAAACAGACAGCATGAATAGTAGGCCTTGTCTATTATATAAATTAAATCAACAATAACCTTCCAACACAGAAAGCAACAGGCCCAGATGGATTCACTGGTGAATCCCACCAAACTTTAAAAAAAGAAGTTAGGCAAATTCTCTGCCATCTCTGCCAGATAGCATAAGAGGGAATACAATTGTACCCCACATCTTTATTTTTAAAAAAGCCAATTATGTTCCTATATACCAGAAATGGGCAAGTGGAATTTGAAATTAAAAATACATTACCATTTACATTAGTAAATCTAAAAAGTATGTATAAAATTTATATGAGAAAAACGACAAAACGCTGGTGAATGAACTCAAAGAACTGGACAAGTGGAGAAATATTCCTCATTCATGGATAGAAAGACTCAATATTGTCAGGATGTCCATTCTTCCCAATTATATGAGAGATTCAATGCAATCTCAATCTATATACCAGAAGATTATTTTGTAGATATCTACAAACTGATTCTAAAGTTTATATGGAGAGGAAAAAGACTCAGAATAGCCAACTCAATACTGAAGGAGAACGAAGGCAGGGGACTGACACTACTCAATTTCAGGACTTACTATAAAGCTACTGTGATCAAGAAAGTATAGTACTGGTAAAGGAATGGACAACTAAATCAGTGGAACAGAATAAAGAGCCCAGAAATACACTCGCATATGTAGTCAACTGATCTTTGACAAAGACTCCAGGATGATACAATTAAGCAAAGATAGTCTTTCTAACAAATGGGACTGATACACTGGACATCTCCATGCCAAAAATGAATCTATACACAGACCTTACAACTTTCTAAAAAATTAACTAAAATAGATCGTAGACTTAAACGTCAAAGACACAACTATAAAACTCCTGGAAGATAGCACAGGAGAAAACCTAGATGACTTTGGGTGACTTTTTAGATAAAACACCAAAGGCATGATTCACGAAAGAAATAACAATACGTGTGACTTCGTTAAAATTAAAAACTTCTGCTCTATAAAAGAGTGAGAAGACAAGCCACAGACGGGGAGAAAATATTTGCAAGAGACACATCTGATAAAGGACTTATTCAAATACACAAAGAACTCTTAAAACTCAACAGTAAGAAAATGAGCAAACCAATTTAAAAACGTGTGAAAGACCTGAACAGCCACTTCCCTAAAGAAGATCTACAGTCGGCCAGTGAGCACTTGAAGAGTTCTACATCGTTAAGTCATTAGGGAGTTGTACACTGAAACAATGATGAGATACCACCACACACCTCTCAGAATGGCCAACTCCAAAACACTGAGAATGCCAAATGCTGGTGAGCAGAGCAATGGGAACTCTTACTGATTGCTGGCAGAAGTGCAAAGTTCAATGCGAAGAACTTTCTGCATTCTTACAAAACTAAATATACTTTCCCCATACAACCCAACAATCACACTCCTTGGTGTTTACCTAAGTGAATTGAAAACTTACTTCCTCGTAAAAGCCTGTACAAGAATGTTTGCAGTAACTTTATTCATAATTGCCAAAACTTCTATTCTAGAAAAGGCAAAACTTTGGAGGCAATAAAAAGATGGGTGGTTGCTAGGGACTGGGGGAATAGAAGGATGAACAGGTGGAACACAGAGGGCTTTTAGGGCAGTGAAACTCTTCTGTAAGATACCACACTAGCAGATATATGTCAGAATACATTTGTCCAAACCCACAGAATGTCCAATACCAAGAGTGGACCCTCATGTAAATTAGGGTCTTTGGTGACAATGATGTGTTACTGCAGGTCCATCAAGTGTAACAAACAAACCCCTCTTTTGCAGATGTTGATAAGGAGGGAGACTGTGTGTGTGGGAGGAGGGCAGGGAACATTTGGGAATTCTCTGTGTATTCCACTCAATTTTTCTGTGAACCTAAAGCCACTCTTTAAAAAAAAAGTTTATTACAAAAGAAAAAGGCACAAGTCCAGAAATCCTAGCCTACCTGGTAAAGTAGAAATCTCGGGAGGGTGGAGCTGGGAAAAAGGCAACCAACCTTGGGAGACCTCCAGGGCGCTGACGCACCTAGGTACATCACAATAATTTGTGTCATTAACGCACTGATGAATTATCAAGGAAATAGATCTGAGGAGCGATGCGCTGGCACTTTAATTGTCTGGAGAACGTACCGCTGTGAAACATGTCCTTCCTCGGGAGTGGATGGGGAGGTAGGAGAATGCCTTGGTCTATGCAGACTCCGCTTGCACCAGGTGGGCCTGGGACCCCCCTTCCTCAGAAGAAAGATAAGAAGAGGCACCGGGGACCTGTTCTTTCTTCCTTCCCCTCTGTCTAAATACAGAGGGGAGGACAAGGGGCCAGCACGTGGCTGGCATCCCGGGCTGAAGCTGGGGATGCAGGAGGAGCCTGCAGGCACGATGGCATGCAGGGCTTTCTTCCCAGATGCCATCCCTCACTGCAGGCTAGCTCACATAGGCCACCCCTCTAGCCTCCATGGCCCTTCAAGCACTTTCCCGGCCAAGGCAGTGGGCTGTGACACAGTCTTTGGGAAACGCCCGTGTGTCTCCTGCCCCCAGCCTGCTCCTCCAGGAAAAGTCCCTGGGGCTGAGTCTGGGAGCAGCCACCACGTTTTACTGTCAGCAAGATGCCGCGGTTCTGGGGTGTCTCCTGAAGCCCTGTCGCAACTCCGTCAGGCAGGCAAACACACCCCTTCCCCGCCCTGCAATGCCTCTGTTCTGGGAGGCTGCAGATTCTGTGGAAAGAATGGTAGTCATTGTTGGAAAAGACAACCTACTGTCTCTTCTAAGAAAGCGCTCTGAGGGCTGTGGAGGCTGGAGGTGTGGCCTGTGAGAACTTGTCTGCAGTCAGGGATGGCATTAGGAGAGAAGACCCCTTGCCTCAAACTCCAGCACACACTGTTGCTGCACCCACACTAGCTATGCGGGGTTGTCTGGCCTGTGTACTTCCTTCAGAACAGGCCTACAGCCAGGGGTGGAGAATGTCTAGCTTTCTGGAAAGGACGGCCACTGGGCACCCTTACATGGTTGGACACATCGCCGGGTCCAGCAGCTATCCTGAATCTCCTTGGCAGGGTCTCACAGAAAGCCCAACCTGGAGACATCCAGCCAAGTCCCATAAGACCTGGCAGATCTGGAAGTAAAGCCTCTCGAATCCCAAGAACCTGGGGGAAGTTCTCACTGAGACCTCGTAGAGGGGTAGCACCGAACAAGAAAAACGGGCCTAAGGACAGGTTTTGATAAAGCAGAGCCTAGTTGGTAGGGAGAAATTTTCCCACAATTCAATGATCCCGGCCCCCTCCTCATTTACCCAGGAGTAGTTTAATCTACATTAGCCAAGCAGGAGAGAACATAGCCGAGGCCTCAACTCTACACAGAGAGGCAGGTGGGAGGGGGCGGAGATCCTGCTCCTGCTGGGGTAGACGTCGGGGCTGGAATGTGCCAGATATCAATAACCCGGGTTCCCGAGCATCCACGAGCACTCCGCAAATATCCCTGCACACGTGTTCATCATCTTCTAGGATGGCGGGTGCTGTGGAGGAGACGGGAACAACCCAGACTGCTGCATGAACCAGAAGAAAGACCAACAGGTGTGTGGTCCTTCTCCCTGGAAGCCCAGGAGGCAGTCTCAGACTCAGAGGCTGGAAGTCAGATGGCAGACCATGGGGGTGCTGGAGGCACACATGAGTCCCAGGTCCTGTGGTGAGACTTCCTTGTTCCTGCCTCCCAGGCTTGCGGGGGCTGGAACCCAGCTCGCTTGGGAACAGTCTGGATCAGTCCTCGTGGGACTGGGAAGGAGGAGACGCCGCACTCCCCACCTATTCTCTTTCCCTGCAGGTCAGTCTCTCGCCACCTTTATTCAACCCAGAGGAGTTCACACCCCTGGACCCCACGCAGGAGCCCATCTTCCCCCCAGAGCTGCTGGTAGGTGGCACCCCAGGGAGACATCAGCCAAGCATGTACTGTGGGTCCCTGGAGACCTGCTTAATTTTCATACCCTCCAGGAACTTTGTGTGTCCTTGTCCTTTGGGTTTCTGCCCGGTGTCCCTTCCTTTTTCTGACACCCCCACTAGGTCAAGTCCCTGTATTATGCACGCCCACAGGGCTGCCTGCCCTTCTCACGCTGGTCACCTTCACGGTTGCTTATTTGATGTCTCTGTTCCTTACTCCAGAGCAAGTGCTGTGGACGGGGCCTGGATCTCTGGGCACATGGTGTGGCTGTGGGCAGGTGCTCTAAAACTACTTGATGACCTCCTGGCTACATCTAATATACAAGGGAGACCCCCCAAACCTAGAATTTGTTTACCAAAAAACGGTGTATGTATTCTTACATTCTTACGTCTCACCTTCAAAATACTCTCGTTGGATGCAACACACCATCAAGATGCTTTTTCCACTGCTCAAAAGAGTTTTTGAATTTGTCCATTTTGATGCCTTTTAGTGCTTCTGCTATTTTTTGTTTCATCTCTTCCACATCGGTGAAACATTTCCCTCAGAGGACTTTTTTTCATCTGGGGAAACAACAAAAAAGTCTCTCAGGGTGAGATTGGGTGAATAGGGAGGATGGAGTATGGGTCATGTTGCTTTTGGTCCCAAACTGCTGAACACTTAGCACACTCTGGGCCCATGTGCTTATAAATCACCCATCATGAAATGGGTAAACATGATGAAAGAATCTCAAAAAGAAAAAAAAGAAAAAAAATTCACTGAAGCTGAATGCAGCCTCTCACAACAATCCTAGCTGGTTCACCCATACCGATGGGTTCCTAGAACACTTATGTCGCAGGGGAAGCCCGTACTACAAGCGACATGCCCTCCAAAAGGCAATTCTGGGTTTTTTGAGGCCCTTCTTGTACAAACCTCCGAGCAACCTAGCCTCTCTAGAAGCAGCCCGTTGATTTAAAAAACAAACGAAAAGGGAGGTTCCATGCGAAGGACAGGTCATCGCTGTTTCAAGGACACCCCCTTTCCCACCTGCATGCCAACATTTACGGTGACAGAAGAGTCAAGTCACTCCAGAGTTTCTCAAGTGCAATCTCGGTGTTGAGCTCACGAAGATGTTCTTTCAGGGGCAGCTGGACAGCAGGAACAGCCCTGCAGCAGGGCGCTGGCCCATCTCTCTCTGGATAGTGACACCCTAGAAACACTGTCAGTTTGATTTGGTAGTTTTGCTCCCAGCCCAGCCTCACCCGTGGGCACCGGAGCCAGCCATCCCAGCATCCCCTCCTGACACCCCCTCCTTTACCGACCGCTGTGCCTTCTGTCCCTCCACCCCTTGTCCACGGCGCCCCCTGGAGACAGCAGGAGGCACTACAGGAGCCTGGGCTTCCAGTTAGGTGGGTTTGGGACTCCTCAAGGCAGGTGACCTCTAGCAGGCAGGTCCCAGGCTCCTTGGTCCTCAGTCTCCCATTTCACCTGCGAAGTGAGGCTCACCTGCCTCCCTCATGGAGGTCCTGTGGGGACTAAGTGTGGACTGATCAGCCGCAGTGGAGTTTCTGCCTCAGTGCATATCAGTCCCCTCCGTCCCCTGACATGGTCTCCGTTCCAAATTCAGTGTTCGCCAAGTCAGGACGACAGCTGATCCCACTGTGGATCAGAGCAGCCTATCAGGGGAGTGGTGGCAGGGGACAGGAGCGGGGTGGTAAGAAAACTGTGTTTCCCAGAGGCTGAAGGACTCCCCGCAGACGCAGCTGCGCTTTGAGGGGGAGCGTGTGACGTGGATCCAGGCCGCCACCCTGAAGCAGCTGCTGGACCTCAAGGCACAGCACCCCGACGCCAAGCTAGTGGTGGGGAACACGGAGATTGGTAAGGCCTGCCGGGGGCCTGCTGGGGCAGGGGCGCTGTGGACCCTCCTACCCATCCTCATCTCCCCTGACCTCGTCACCTCTGCACCCCACCCCACCGATGGCCCGGAACCCTTCAGAGTCACGTGGGTGGGATTCGGTGCTTGCTGGTTGGGGGTCCTCAGAAAAGATGCTCTGCCCTTATCTCCCCCTTTCTTTTATGGGGGAAATACTAGCTCTTCACAGGATCATTCTGGGTACTAACCGAGATTCTTGTTGACTTCTTCCTATAAACATTTAGAGGCCCAGTGGTGAGCCAGGTGCTCTGGGAACATCCACTGGACTTGAGTCCTTGCCTCAAGGCTCTCCTAGGCCATGCGGGAGGAAGTCATGTAAGCACAGTGTCCAGGCCAGTGTCTGATGGACACAAGGGGTTCTGTAAATGTCATGCTTTTGCTCCCCCCCCCCTTTTCCCAGGGGATGATGTGAGCAGGCAAAGGCGAGGAGACTGTGTTTTTGTTGCCTGTGACCATGGCCCTCTGCCCTGCAAGGGCAACCACCTGGGTCGTGAGGCCCACGACATGTGAACAGGCTGGGAGACAGGATGGGCCGCACTTCGGGCCAGGGCTGCAAGGGACAGGAGAGAAGGCAGAGGTGCCCAGGCCCCTGCTAATCTCCATCCATTCCTAAACCTGACTGGGCCCATCTTCACTTTGCTGGGTCCAAGGCTAGAGTGGGTCTAAGGGGAAGACCTGGTGCTGGTGAGGTCTGTCTTGGAGGAAGGGCCTCTGGCTTGTGGTGGGGAAACTGATGTGCTTTTAAGCAGTCAAGTCTTGTGGGAGAAACTCCAGGCTCTGGCTCCTGCAGGGATCCCAAGCCCAGAGTTCTTGGTTCCTCAGAGAGGAGGGCCTGGTTCGGCTCAGTGCTGATGCAACTCAGAGTGGCCCCATCCTGGTGAGCACAGATAGGGTACAAGGTCCCCAACTGTGGCTTGGTGACACTCTGGGGCAGCTGGGTGGGTGAGACAGGACTCGGGTGATGTGATCTTGATGGCTGAGTCTTGGCAGGACTCACGACCCATGCTGTCCAGGCATAAACTGATGTAAGGGGCCTGGGAGAATCTTAGGAGTCCCTTTGAGTCTTTCGTGTTCCTCATCGTGGCTTATATGATGTCCAGGGCCAGGTGGCTTTTCAGAGAAAGGAATTCACCCTTCTGAAAGCGTCAGCATACACCCCGCAGTTAGAAATAATTTCTTTCTTTCTTTTTGTTTGTTTGTTTGTTTTGAGTTGGAGTCTCAATCTGTCACCCAGACTGGAGTGCAGTGGCACGCTCCTGGCCACCACAGCCTTGACCTGCTGGGCTCCGGCAATCTTTCTGCCTCAGCCATCCAAGTAGCCAGAACTACAGGCGTGCACTACTATGCCCAGCTAATTTTTGATTTACTGTAGAGACGGGGTCTCGCCAAGTTGCCTAGGCTGGTCTTGAACCTGCAGGCTCAGGCAATCCATTCGCCTTGGCCTCCCAAAATGCTGGGATGACAGGCTGAGCCAACAAGCCCGGCCAGAAATAATTTCTTAAGACCACTTCTCTCTGCTCTGCTGTCTTCCCTTCCACACAACCTGACAGTGTAGCTACCTCCAGCCCAAGCAGGTGCTGGGGGGAGGGTAGGCAGAGAGAAAACCTTGTGGAGACGGGACTTCCCGGCTCAATCTGCGTTCTTTGTCCTGGGAGCTGATATTCCAACAAACCAGGCTCCTCAAAGCCTAGGACCCCCTTCAGAAATCCTTAACAGCACCTGAGCAGAAGGGTGTGCCAGACATTTCTTTTTTGACCATTCCCTGCTGCCAGGGCTGGGAGAGGTGTTCAGCCCACTGGGTCTAAGAAACAAAGGCACATTCATTGAATAGGTGCTTCTAACTCGAAATGCTGGGAAGGACAGAGCCTGGACAGCCCCTGCAAAGCCAGGCATCTTGAGGGGCTCAGAGACGTCGTGGGGACTGGAGGACACATTGGAATGTTCTCGCTCATTTTCCTTTTTTTGTTTTAGTGTTAGGCTTTCGTGTTTTTAGTACTGTTATACCCCAACACTACCAACAGCTCAAGTGCTGGAATTTGCCTGTTCTTCGCTGTGTGCTTTGGGCAAGAAACATAACCTTTCCATGCCTCAGTTTCTTCATCTGTAAACAGAACATCACAATACCTTGCGATGGGTTTGTTGTGAGGATCAAGTGAGTTGAAGTTAGTAAAGTGCTTAGCTAACATACATTCATTCCCTGTGCTTTTTTTCTTTCTTTCTCTTTTTATTTTATGAGACAGTGTCTCACTCTATCTCCCTGGTTGGAGTGCAGTGGTGCAGTCATAACTCACTGAAACCTCCGACTCCTGGACTCAAGCGATCCTCCTGCCTCAGCCTCCTTCGTAGCTGGTACACCCAGTTATTTTTAAAATTTTTTGTAGAGATGGGTATCTCGCTATGTTGCCCAGGCTGGTCTTGAATTCCTGGTCTCAAACAATCCTCCTGCCGTGGCGCCCCAAAATGCTGAGATTACAGGTAAAGCCACCATACCCGGCCTCCCAGTACTTCCTAATATTGTTACGCACATACACACTCACACACAAATGAATTCAGACTCCTTGCATTTGCAGTCTGATAGTTTTTTTTTTATTATTCTTAAGAAAAACAGACATTGTTTTAGGGCTGACAGCCTGGAGATTGCAGCTAATCCCACCCTGGTCCCCTGTGTTTCCTAGCCCCAGAAACCCCAGAGCATATTGCAATTGTGAGTCTGTCCGGTATCTTGTGTGTCACGTCGGGGAGCCTGTGGTGGCCCGCCCTGGAGACACAGCAAAGGACTAGTAACGCCAGGCTTCTTGTTTCTTCCAGGCATTGAGATGAAGTTTAAGAACATGCTGTTTCCCTTGATCGTCTGCCCAGCCTGGATCCCTGAGCTGAACTCAGTGGAGCATGGCCGCGAGGGTAAGGGGAACTTGGCCCCGAGCCCACAGAGGGGCTGTGTCGCTGGGGCTGGGTCACAGGAGTAGATGCGGATGGCAGGTGCCGGGCAGCCTCCCTGTGGGCTCTGGCTGCCCCCTGCTTCTCCTGGGGCCTGCCTCTCACGGGAAATGGAGGTGATTAGGGAGGGGGCCCCTCACTGCCAATCCTCCACCAAGCATCCACAGTGGGGTGCCTCGGGCAAGAGACTGTGAGCACTTCAATCGTTGTTCTCAGTCCTGGCTACACATTAGAATCACTCAGGGAGGTGGGGTGGAGAGTGGGGGTTTAAAAAATGCCAGGACATCTCCCCCAGAGACCCTGACTGCATTGAGTTGAGAACCACTGACTAAGAGGAAAGGGCATTGGTTGTAGGATCCAGAGGCCTGGGCTTGTGTCTGGCTCTCTCATTAGCTGTGTGGCATTGGTAAAGTCACTTAACCTCTCTGGTGCTCATTTTCTCATCCATGTGAAGCTATGAGCACTGACTCAACCAAGTTTCCTGTGTGTGACAGCGTCCCCGGGGCTGGAGAGAGGGGATTGCTGCTATTTAGTGTGTGTGTCCCAGGTATCACCTTCGGAGCTGCGTGCCCCCTGAGCTTGATGGAGAAGACCCTGGCTGATGCGGTGGCTAAGCTTCCTGCCAAAAAAACAGAGGTGTTTAGGGGAGTCCTCGAGCAGCTGCGCTGGTTTGCTGGGAAGCAGGTCAAGTCCGTGGCGGTGAGTAGCGGCTCCCAGGCTGGCAAGTAGGCAAGACGGGATGGACTTTCATCAGAAGGTGCCCGTCTGGCCTCCACTGCAGACCCTGTTTGCCTCCACCCAGCGGGCCTCAAACTGTCAAGCTGGGAAGCACCTGAGGGGTGCGGGGAGCAGAGCTTGCTAAAAATGCAGATTCCTGGGTCCATCCTCAAGGATCCCCACATGTGGATAAGGAAAGAGCCTAGGCAGAACATAGGTTATTGACAAGCTCCTCAAGGTGCTTCTGATGAAGGCGGCTTGTGGCCCCCTGAGGACCACCCCCTCTGTGACTCAGTCTTTGTCCCTGAGGCTGTGGAGATGACGTCCTGTCCCTTTTCCTGGGCGAGGCTGAGCCTATCCGTGGGTGAATAAGAGATGTGTTAGGAAGAAGCCAGGACTGGGAGGGGGGTTTCTGTTCAGAGTCTGAGGAGAACCAGAGACCCCATTCACAGTTGGCCTTCAGACCAGCCTGAAGTCCCCGTTTGCCAATGGTGGCGTTCACAAGTCCTGTGCCTTTTGAGGCTCACATAGTTTATGGTGTTGGGAGGAAGACTGTCTCTTCCATTTCTAAATTGTTTTTTTTAAAAATTAAAGCAAAATGAAATGGCCTGCTCCTATCCCCCACACCCCGCCCCAAGTACGTGCCACTTCTGATTACGGATGAGGAGACAGAAACTCAGAATTCTAACATCTTCTGAGACCTCTAGTCTTGTTGAAATCTACCTCCAGGAAGAATTTTGTTTTCATTGTGCAACTGATTTTCCTCCTGTTTTCTAACACTGAGACCCTTCTGTCTGATGATTCTCCTTATTTATTTGTTTATTTTTGGCCAAGTTGCCAGGAAGTTCAGATGCAAATAGAGCAGATTCAGCGTGTGTGTCCCCAGGTATCACTTTTGGAGTTGCGTGCCCTCTGAGCTTGGTGGAAAAGACCCTGGTTGATGCGGTCGCTACGGGCAAGAGACTGTGGAAACTATGCGTTTATCTTCTATGTCAATTTTCCCAACTCTATGACAGACACTGTGATAAACCACCTTCCTCCTTTCAGAAAAAGGCTCGGTGAAATCAATCAAACAGGCACATTTAAAGGGACTTGCTTGGTCAATCTCAGAGCTGAGACCACAGTGTTCCAATTTCAGGTTTTGCGTGTTTTTCGGAATGCCCAAGTGCTCACTGTGCGGGTCTTGTGTCCACAGGGGGTGCAGATCCTGGGGAGGGGTCTCCCTGCAGCTGGTGTCACCCACCCGCCCTGTGTTCAGGGCCGCTGAGTGAGCGAGGTCTCCCGGGATGGGCTCTCACTGCCTGCTCTCTGCTCTTGCTAGTCCATCGGAGGGAACATCATTACCGCCAGTCCCATCTCCGACCTCAACCCTGTGTTCATGGCCAGTGGGGCCAAGCTGACGCTTGTATCTAGAGGTGAGTTGAGAAACACCCGTGCTGTGACCCAGTCTTCACTCTGAGGCTGTAGAGATACGGCTGCCTGCCCCTTCCTGCAAAGGTCTCAAAGAAAGACTCGGGGAGAAAAGTCTCCCTGGAGAGGTCATTTCCTGGAGCAACACAGCCCAGAGTTCAGGGTCTCATCTGTCTTCAGGTCCCAGGAAGCTGGGGGGATGCATCCAGGTTGGGCACCAGGGGAACTGGACTTTTTCTTTATTAAAAATGCACAGCAGGAGGCCGGGCTCCATGGCTCATGCCTGTCATTCCAGCACTTTGGGAGGTAAGTAAGGGGATTGCCTGAGCCCAGGGGTTCGAGACCAGCCTGGGCAACTTGGTGAGCCCTCATCTCTACAATAAATAAAAAAATTACCTGGGCATAGTAGTCCATGCCTGTAGGTTGAGGCAGAAAGCTCAATGGAGCCCAACAGGTCGAGGCTGCAGTGGCTGTGAGCGTGCCAGTGCACTCCAGCCTGGGCGACAGAGTGAGACTCCGACTCAAAAATAAACCAAACAAAAACCCCAAATTCATGGCAGGAACTGCCATTTAGAAGCAGAAGCCTTACTGAGTGGTGTCCTGGGCCTGGAATAGGTCAATTGTTGAATTTTCAGGAATTATCTGAGCCATTTGTTAAATATGACTTTTATTAAAAATTATGTATTTTCAACGAAATAAGCTACATTCCAAACAAAGGTAATAAGTACTCAAAATTTTTCACCTCTTAATTATTTTACTTTATTTCCCTATCACCTGTGCTCTTGAGGTTATTATATCTGTTGTATCCGGACAGTGGAAACACTATGTGTTTATCAACTACTGTGCATCTCTGCCTTGTCAGAGGGTCACCAAGACCACCCCGGGTCTGATATTGCTAGGAGCATTCAGCATAGACTACAGCAGAAGGACACACAGCAAAACCAGCAAAGGGAAAAAGGGCATCCCAGGGGAGTGACACGGGATGTGCTTATTCCTCCAGCGACGAGTCGTGGATACACATGTGAAATCTTGTGTCCCAGGGAGGTTTCTTAGAGAATCAGCACCCAGGTTTCCTTGAGCTGGTCACACAGGCAGCCTCTGGTGTGCACTGGAAGCCTGGACTCCCAGAGGGAAAGAGGTGTTGTGCATAATCGTGTTGTTTGTATAGATAGTTTAGGCTTGGTGAGCCGCTCCTATCAAGGCATGAGGGTACCCTTCTGAAATACTGGAGCCCAAGGACCAGCCTTTAAGTAGGACCCACAGAGGGGAACAGAGAGCTGCTGTATTAAGACTCCCCTGCCTCTTGCCAGATTCACATTCAAGGATGTCATTTGGGTAGCTTGAAATCGGCTCCAGTGGGACTATTACAACACAGCAGCTAGCAAATGATACAAATCACCCCCACTGTACACCAAGAGCGGGCAGTTCAACAATCACCAGCACACACTGCTTGAGGAGTTCAGGCAGAGGACTGGGCCCCAGGGGAGCCAGGGTTCCCTCTGACCATGGGCCTCAGGGAAGGATGAAGGGCTGCTCCCTGTTGGGCCCCTGACCCCTACCCCTCATCACCCCCTCTTTGTCCTGCCTTCTCTCAGGCACCAAGAGAACTGTCCGGATGGACCACACCTTCTTCCCTGGCTACAGAAAAACCCTGCTGAGCCCGGAGGAGATACTGCTCTCCATTGAGATCCCCTACAGCAGAGCGGTGAGTTGCGGGTGCTGGGCCCGGGCAGTGCCCAAGGCATCCTCCGGCCAGGCTCCCAGTGAGGACGCGGGGGTCTGCCTGGGGACCAGCTGGAGCAGCTGTCAGCTTCAGCATGAATGCTCTCCTCTCTGAGCTGTGCCTTAAGGCCGTGGTCCCCAACCTCCCTGGTATCAGGGATCAGTTTTGTGAAAGGAGATTTTTCCATGGATGCGGGGAGGGGATAGCTTGGGAATGATTCAAGCACATCGCATTTATTGTGTACTTTATTTCTAGTATTGCATTGTAATATATAATGAAATAATTATGCAACTCGTCATTAAAAAAAGAGGTGTGGGCGGGCCATGTGCAGACTAAAATAAGTGTTGGATTCTGACTTAAAGTCTGCCCATAATGTGGCTGTCCAATTGAAGTCCATCAACTCACTGGCCACTCACTGAGAGGGTTTTGCTATGAGTCTGCTAGCAGTGTATTTATGATTGTCTCTGTATTGTCAAACCTCGCTGCTTGGCTGGGTTCGGTGGCTCAGCCTGTAATCCCAGCACTTTGGGAGGCCGAGGCATGTGGATTGCCTGAGCCTGTGGGTTTTGAGATCTGCCCGGGCAACTTGGCAAGACCTCGTCTCTACAATAAATCAAAAACTAGCCAGGCGTGGTAGCGCATGCCTGTAGTTCCTGCTACTTGGAAGGCTGAGGCAGAAGGATCACCGAAGCCCAGCAGGGCGAGTGTGGTGGCCGGGAGCATGCCACTGCACTCCAGTCTGGGCGACAGAGTGAGACTCCAACTCAAAAAAACCCCAAAAACCTCACTACTCATGTTCATCGGTATTTGCAGCCGCTCCCCAGTGCTGGCATCACGGCCTCAGCTCCACCTCAGATCATCAGGTATTAAGTTCTCATAAGGAGCAGGCAACTCTGATCCCTCGCATGTGCAGTTCACAATAGGGCTCGTGCTCCTGTGAGAATCTAATGCCATCGCTGGTCTGACAGAGGATGGAGCTCAGGCCATAATGTGCGTGATGGGAAGTGGCAGTAAATACAGATGAAAATTTGCTCACTCAATTGCCATTCGCCCCCTGCTGTGTGGACCAGTTCCTAATAGGCCAAGAACTGGTAGTGGTCCGTGACCTGGGGACTGGGGACCCCTGCTCTAATGAATGAACCACATTCCTCTCTGGACAGTGGGAAATCGCAGGGCAAGGGTGTGTAGGGCATGGACAGCCTGATGCGTGGTCCTGAGCCAGTCACCTCACCTTTCTGAACCCCGATTTCCTCATCTGTCAAATGGACACCATGTTACCTATTGTGCAGGTTATTGTGCAGACTGAAAATAAATCATTCATGAGGTTCCCGGCAGATGTCCGGAAGCCAGTGATGACTCACTGGTAGCTGGTAACACAATCCCAGAAACATGTTCAACCATGGAGGATTCCTGCCCCATGTCAGAGGAGACGTGCTCTCCCTTAGTGGGGTGTGTGGGGTCTGCGTGCTGAGCAAGGGAGTTGCCTGTGGGTCAGACCCTTGTATGCTGGCCCCGGGCTGGAATAGGTGTTTGTTCACTGGCCTTGCCCTGGGTGGGTGCTGACAGATCCTGTTTTGTGAGCTGCTCTCCTGGCCTGCTGGGGCAGGGCTGGACCTTGGCCTGCCTTATTGCATTCCTGGGGGCCAGAGCTGTCTTGACCTGGTGTGGGTCTCCTCCTCCTCAGCAGCTTTCAGCTCAAGACACAGTGCACTACGGGCCCTCCAGAAGAGGGGTCTGTGAGCAGCCTGGGAGTCGCTGTCAAGGAATGTGAAGGGTGTCCCTCGACCCATGCTTTAGCAACATGTCTTGCCCTGGCTAATTTTGACCTCCTTAATGAGAATGCTAATTAAATTAGAGCAATGATATCCCTGAGGTGGTTTCTTGATGGTTTTCTGGCTTATCCTTATAGACCATGTATGAGCAGTGATTCTCAGAGTCTTTAATTTCAGTTAGTAAAAAAAAAAATTTAAAGAAAGGAGGAAGAGACAAGCATAGCACTCTTGGTTTTTATTTTGCCAGGTATGGCCATTAACAAAAAGCATCCTTTCATGAAAGAAAGGAGATTTCAATACCCAGAATTAGGGAGTTCTCCTGACAATGATGGTTCACGGCATCCCAGTGAAAATGTCGCCGTGAACTGGCAGAGTCCTGGGGCAAGCACCCAGGACCTCTGTTCCAGAACAAAGGCCAAACTTTGGGCTCAGTGCCCGGGGCCGGCTCTGACATCCAGGAGCCTGAGCGAGCTTCAGCATCCAGGGGACGTCTTTGTGGCTTCTTCATGGAAGGCCTGTGGCCGTTTGGGGGCCTCAGCTGCGGCCTCCTGGGCTTTCGCCAATCGGCCTCCTTTCCTGGAGCCTCCTCCCTCTGGCGTTGGTCAGCATTGGCAGTGCCCGGTGGGTCAGACCACAAGAGGAACCTGACACGGAAAGGGCTTAAAGGCAAGTGGTTCTCACCTGCAAGGAAGCTCACACCCTCCTTCCATTCCCAAAGCCAGACCCTGGCGGGGGACTCAGTGGGAGAAGTATGTTTAAAGCACAAAGGCAGCAATTTGATGTGATACTTTGTTTCAGCAAGCAACATTTCTAGAGCAGCCAGTGGACAGTTGGGAGGGCCAAGTTAGGGAGAGCACTGTGGAGGCTAGAGCCCAAGGAGGGCTTCAAGCAGCCCTCACTGTCTCTGCTTGAGGGACGGGCAGGCCCACAGCGGGGTCAGCATAGTCTGCGGAGAAGCCGGGTGGGCATTGACACTGGGCACCAGGGAGGGGGAGGCAAGGGGCTCTGAGGAGCCTTTCCACCCAGCTCTATGTGACCCCTGACTCTACAGCAGAGAGAAAGCCAGACCCTTGTCCAGCTTCCAGGCGTGTTGTCTGGAATTTTCCTAAAGATGTGGCTGTCGGGCATATTTGATCTTAGACTTCTGGGCCACTCCCATGTGATAAGGGGGGTGTTGTCTCCTGCTCGCCCCCCACAACCCCATTTCAGGTTGCCACTCCCAGTCCTCACCAAGCAAGGTGGACAACGGGCACATCTGTTCTTCCCCAGGGCGAGTACTTCTTGGCCTTCAAGCAGGCCTCCCGGAGAGAAGATGACATTGCCAAGGTGACCAGCGGCATGAGGGTGCTGTTCAAGCCGGGAACCATGGAGGTCGAGGAGTTGTCCCTGTGCTACGGTGGGATGGCCAACAGGACCATCTCTGCGCTCAGGACCACACGGAGGCAGCTGTCCAGGTGAGAGACACAGCCGGACCAGACAGCGGCAGCCGTGGCTGCTCTGTCCTATGGCCACGGCTGCGAAGGCGACCTCAGGAAGCCCAGGGACGGCTGTCACGGCTACTGGTGTTCCTGCTTCTCCCGCTCCCCTGGCCACACGCTCCTACAACCACTAGTACTAGTACTATTACCAGAGTTAGCCTTGCTACTGTTGCCATTGTGACTGCTGCTGTTATTGTTGCTGGGGCTACTGTTACTCCAGCTGCAATTCATGTTACTACTGTTGCTGCTGCCGCTGTTTCTGGGCACCATGAGTCTGGCTGTGACTCTTGCTGCGGTTGCTATGACTACCAGCATGCATGCATTCCCAGGGTTGCTTCTGCTAGTATTGCCGTGCTGCACCAGGGTTGCCATTGTGACTCCGCTAACATTGTCGCTGTGGTTACTATTACTGCAGCTGCAACCCATGTTCCTTCTGTTGCTGCTGCCACTGCTCCTGGGCACCATTACTCCGGCTGTGACTCTTGCCATGGTTGCTACGACAACTAGTACAGATGCCATTTCCAGGGTTGCTGCCACTCTTGTTGCCACTGCTGCACCACTATCGCCGTTGAGGCTGTTGCTATTTTCATGGCTGGGGCTATGGTGCCTGTAGCTGCCGTTCATGTTCTGACTGCGGCGTCTGCTGTCCTGTGACGCCTGCTGTTGTTCTTGCCGTGGTCGCTGCTCCTACCTCTATGGCTGCTCTTCCTGGCCCCTGCCACTTCCGGGGTTGGTATGATGGCCATTACCGTGATGGTGATTGCCATCACTCCTGCCACTGCTGCCTCTTCTGTCCCTTTTGCCCATAGCATCACCACGACAGTTTCTACCACAGCAGCTGGTGTTTTCCCGATCTCTCAGCAGATGCCACTGCTGTGGGTGCTGCGATGTGCAGAGCTACTGCCCCTGCTACCAGTGCTGGGGCTACCAGGGCTGCCGCTGCTCCTGGGGGGACTGCTGCAGGGATCGCTGTTGTTATTGCTGCAATCACTGTTGTCATTGCAGCTGCTGTTACCCTAGTAGTGACAGAGCTGCTGTCACTGCTGTTGCAATTGCTACTAGTGTTGGTACTGCTGTTACCCAGTTGGCAATAGTGCTGCTGTTGCTACAATTACTGCTGCTGTTGCGACTGCTGTTACCCTAGTAGTAATAGTGCTGCTGTTGCTGTGGTTACTACTGCAATTACTGCTAGTGTTGCTCCTTCTGTTACCCTATCAGCAATAGTGCTGTTGTTGCTACAATCACTACTATTGTTGCTCCTGCTGTTACCCAGGTAGTGATAGTACTGCTGTTGTTACAATCACTACTGGTGTTGCTCCTGCTGTTACCCTAGCAGTAATAGTGCTGCTGTTACTATGATTACTGCTATTGTTGCTCCTGCTGTTACCCCAGCAGTAATAGTGCTGCCATTGCTACTGTTGCTGCTGTTACTGCTGCAATTACTGCTATTGTTGTTCCTGCTGTTACCCTAGTAGTACAAGTGCTGCTGTTGCTACAATCACTACTGTTGTTGCCCCTGCTTTTACCCTAGCAGTAATAGTGCTGCTATTACTATGATTACTGCTATTGTTGCTCTTGCTGTTACCCCAACAGTAATAGTGCTGTCATTGCTACTGTTGCTGCTGTTATTGCTGCAGTGACTGCTGTTGTTGTTCCTGCCATTACCCCAGTAGTGCTGGTGCTGCTGCTGCAACTACTACATCTACTCCTGGTGCTGGTGCTGTGGCCTCAGGGACTACTGCTTCTTCCAGACTCTTACTCCTTCTCGGACTGCTCTTTGTATTGCGTCTGTGGCCGCTACTTCTGCTGCTGCTGCCAGTGTCATCCCTAGTAGTGTGGATGCTGCCGCCGTGACACTCCTGCTGCTGTTGCTGCCATGGCTGCTGCCATGACTCTAGCGGTGGTGACTGTACAGCAGTGTTGGACCCAGCCTTTCACCGCCTTGTCCTGTGCAGCCCTTCCAGGAACCGTGTAGGGTCAATACGGCCTCACCTGGAGTCTGGCTCCCTGGCCTCAGAGTGTCTGGCTCTGACGTTGACCATGTGGGCAATAGAAGTCCAGTTACCGAATGTCCTCCAGGCTCAGTTTTCTCCTGGTGAGGACTATAAGGATTCTCCCTAAATTTAACATAAATGGAAAGTGCTGATTCGTAGAAGACATCGGTACCTAGTAAGGACTCAAGAGACTGAATGTTGTTACTTTGGTGGCCTTCCAGCATTGTGTCTTGGTTAAAGATGAGGAAATTGAGGCTCAAGGAGGTTGAGTCCCTGGCCTAGCGTCACCTCACTCTAAGGACTGAGCCAAGTTTTGAACCAAGGTCTATAGGCATCTGAGGCCTGGGCACACGACTCCTCACAGGGCTGCAGAGGGCTGGAGGGAGGGTTGAATTGGAGGGCTGAAGGGGAGGACTGGAAAGGAAGCTGGGCCGGAGGGTCTGCTAGGGGGGACAGTGGGAGGGAGGGAGGCCCGAACAGGAGGGCTGGAGGGAGGGTTGGTCAGGAGGCCTGAATGGGAGGGCTGGGATGAGGGCTGGAGGGAAGGCTGGAGCCAGGGAGGCCTGGAGGGAGGGCTTGACAGGAGGGCTGGAGGGAGGGAGGGATGGCTGACTGGAGGGAGGGCCGGGCTGGAGGGCTGGAGGGGAGGGCTGGGCTGGAGGGCTGGAAGGGAGGACTGGAAGGCAGGGCCAGGCTGGAGGTCTCAATGGGAGGGCTGGAACGAGAGCTGGAGGGAGGGCTGGCAGGGAAGCTTGGACCAGAGGCCTGGCAGGAGGGAGAGTTGGAGAGAGGGAGGCCCGAACAGGAGGACTGGAGGGGAGGAGGGCTGGAGGAGGGGCTGGTGGGGAGAGCTGGAAGGAGGGCTGGATGGGAGGGCTGGAGGGAAGGAAAGCTGGAGGAAGGGAGGGTGGGAGGAGGGAGGACTGGACCAGAGGGCTGGACGGGAGGGCCGGAGGGAGGCCTGCGGGGAGCACCGTCCCACTCCCTGCTCCTGCAGGCTCTGGACGGAGGAGCTGCTGCAGGACGTGTGCGCAGGCCTGGCCGAGGAGCTGCACCTGCCCCCCGATGCCCCCGGCGGCATGGTGGACTTCCGGCGTACCCTCACCCTCAGTTTCTTCTTCAAGTTCTACCTGACGGTGCTGCAGAAGCTGGGCAAAGAGAACCCGGAGGCCGTGAGTGCGGTCTGGTTGGCGCGGTCTCTGCTGCTTGTCTGGGGGCTTGCGGGATGCCGGTCTGGGTGGTGACCAGGCCCCTTCGTCATCTTGCCCTCACAGAAGTGTGGCCTGCCGGACCCCACCTTCGCCAGCGCGACGCAGCTCTTCCAGAAGGACCCTCCGGCCAATGTGCAGCTCTTCCAAGTGAGTGTGGCGCACGGCTGAGATCGTGGCCTGGGTGGGCCACATTGGGTGGCCAGGCTGATCGTTGGCGGGTGGCCACCCTGAACTGTGTATAGGTGCACAGAACTCCTTTCGCCGTTTAGACACCCAGTGAAGGAAACGGGGGCCACACTGATGTCAATGTCGCTATTTCCCCCTTGTTTGCACCCATTCTTTAAGGAAAATACTCTGTTTTATTCTGTTAATCATCTGGCTCTTCTATTGTGCAAAGCCAGGAGTTGAGCACACTTAGTTAAAAAAAAATCTTCTCTCAACAGCAACTTTTTATGAAGTGCTAGATAAAGTGTCAGCAAACTCTTCCTGCAAACGTTTTAGATTTTGTGGGCCAGACAATCTCTATTACAACTTCTCAGTCTGTCATCATAGCACAAAAGTAGGCACAGGCAATACATAAATGAATTAGGGTGCTGTGTTCCAATAAAATTTTATGTAAAAAAAACCAGGCAGTGGGCCTGATTTGGCCTGCAGGCCACAATTTGCTGACCTCTGTACTAGAGTTTGTTGATCCAAAGCACGAACTCTGGGGCCTGATGCCTGACTTTGAACCCAAACTCTTGTCATTTGATAGCTGCGTAACCTTGAACAAGTCACTTACCCTCTCTGTGCCTCCCGGACAAGTTAATTTTATACCCACCTGCAGACATGGGTGGTTTTGAGGATTAAATGTGTCCATAAAAGTAAATTGCTTAGACAGTTCCTGATATATGGAAAACATTCAACAAATATTAACCATTATTATTTCTACTTTCAATAACAAATACAAACAGAATGTTATTATAAAATTAATACATTTTTAAACATTTTGAAAAGTTATAGAAAAATATAAAAACAACAACGAAAATCACCCAAAATTGCACCTCCAAGAGAAAAATCATCCTTATATTTTTGTTTACTTCTTTCCATTTTTTCCCTATGCCTATATGGACACATATATATATACCATATTTATAATACATATGATCTTTTCCTACAGAATTTGGATCTTTGTACACACATACACACAATGTTTTATGTCCCGTTTTTATACTAAACATGAACGATCTTTCCTTCCGATTGAAATTCTCCAACAGAATGTATTAATGGTTACATACTCTTCCAAATGACATGTAGCATCATTTATTTTCTCTGTCTGGTGATAGGCATTTAGGGTCCTCTTTTTGTTGTTCCTTTATTTCTTTATTTTTTTTATTTTTTGAGTCACAATCTCACTCTGTCACCCAGGCTGGAGGGCAAAGGCACCATCACGGCCCCCATAGCCTTGACCTGCTGGACTCAGGTGATCCTCCTGCTTCAGCCTTCCAAGTAGCTGGAACCACAAGTGTGGACCACCACACCTGGCTAACTTTTTGATTTATTGTAGAGATGAAGTCTCATCATGTTGCCCAGGCTGATCTCGTACTCCCAGGTTCAAACAATCCTCCCGTCTCGGCCTCCCAAAGTCCTGGGATTACAGGCGTGAGCTACTGCACCTGGCTTGTATTCTTTTATAGAACGAGACCAGATCCTGCTCGGTTACTTACGCCATTCCCGGTTTCTTTGCTCCAGGCCCTTCCACGTCCTCCCGTCTTATCTCAGGTGTGCTCTGCCACCTGGCCTGAAGCTCTCCCGTTTCCCCTGGGCCTGTCAAGGTGCAGTGCCCTCGGCAGCTCAGCTTAACTGATGACCCTGTTGTTCCAGGAGGTGCCCAAGGGTCAACCTGAGGAGGACACAGTCGGCCGGCCCCTGCCTCACCTGGCTGCCAACATGCAGGCCTCCGGAGAGGCCGTGTACTGTGATGACATCCCTCGCTATGAGAATGAGCTCTCTCTGCGACTGGTCACCAGTACCCGGGCACATGCCAAGATCAAGTGAGTATTGCCGCCAGGAAGAGGCGGGGGTGCTCCAGAAGGAGGCTGCTGGGAGTACCCACGGGGTTCCTTGCCCCTGCCAGGCAGTGGAGATACAGAGCTAAGGAGGCTCCTGCAGGCCTTCCCAGTCTAGAGAAGAAGGCAGGAAGTCACCTCAAAACCACAGTCTGGAGAGGAGAAGGAGGGATGGGGCTGGACAGTACCTGGAGTGAATCTTCTCCTGGTAGGGTGACAAGCTGACCCTGGAGAGATTAGAGGGACCACATCAAGAAAGCTAAACAGAGAACTGACACATGATCTGAAAAGCACCTAGGAGCTGCTGGAGGGCTTTGGCAGGACCAGGGATGACTTGCATTTGGGATACTGGGCTCGAATGGAAGGCAAAATCTCAGGAGAACTTGAGTTAGCACCGGAAGGAAGAGCGTGGCCTTGGAGTCTGGTAGACCTGGCATTGAATCTCTGCTCTGGTGCTTAGCAACTGTGACCTTGGCCCATCTACCCAAACCCTCAGTTTCCCCACCTGTGGTCAGGTGTTTTTATGGGAATTTGCAATATTGTCTACAAGGCACCTGGCAGAGAATACTTCTTATACATGCTTGAACAAGCACATACCTGCTTGTTGAATTTTGAGAGCTCAAATAGCAAAAAAACCCCAACCATCTCTATAATAATAATACCACCTAGCACTCATGGTGCTTGATATTTGCCAACGCTTGGTTGAAATCATTATATACACATTTGTTTATGTATTCCTTGCACCAACCTTAAAGGCAGGTCCTGTTATTATTATCTCCCTGTCCCAAATGAGGAAACTGAGGCACAAACAGGGTAAGTCACTCTCCCCAGAGCTAGTGTTTGTGTGCAGGCAGTCTGAGTAGCTGGGCTGTGCAGCCACTGGACGTTCAAGCCAGAGTATGACTTCATCATTTCCTGGTGGACATGACACACATGGCCTGCTGAGTGGAGCAACCAGGACAAATGGTCCCTCGGGTCCCTCCTACTGCATGGACCAAGAATCAGGTCTCCTTGCTCTCAGCCTTTTCTCTCTGTTACTCCCAGCCCAGAGAATGACAAACCAGCCACAGATGAAATCGAACACAGATGAAATCTAACAAATACACTGTTCCAGGTCACTGAAAAAAAAAAAGTGTATGTCCCTGTGATTGCTGGTAATGGGCACATCGTTCAGCCTTTGTCCTTGTCTTGAGCCCGTGGTGACAGCACTGTGACCCGTATTGTCTACACTCAAACCGCCTCCATCCAAGCAGTGTGTGACCAGATGGGGAATGGTAGGGGCAGCCATTGTCATGACTGCAGCAATCAGGACTTGCTTGGAAGGGGGCATGGCAGGCAGGGTTTCCCTGATGTGGGCACCCTCCTAAATGAACCTCAGTTCTGACTCAGTCACGCCACTTTGTGGCTGAGTGACTTGGACAAATGACCCCACTTCCCTGAGCTTGAGACATCCCCAGATGTAAAAGGGGGATAGGGATAAGTACATTCAGGGCTTTGTGTGAGGATGAACTGTCTGGGAGCTTCAGGGCAGTTCCCACCTCTTTCCCTGTCAGGGCATGGGCCAGAGTAATGGAGATATGGCTGAGACTCCCTGAGAAGTGCCCCGGCATCCTTCCTGGGACACTCGCATTGTCTCCTTATGTCTGGGATGCCCATGCCTGGGAAGGCACCACTGATGTGAGAAGAGAAATCTGGCTTGGGAGGCTGTCAGGGCCATGGGGTCAGGGCATGGCAAGAACCCGCGTATGCTGTTCTGGTTGGGTGTTCGCTGGTGCTGTGGGTTTTCACCAGAGCTCTTCAGAATCAGTGCTGCCCACCATAACTTGACTCCCATGCATCTGGGGGGCAGGCAGGCAGAGCATGGGGCCACAGGGCATGGCCTGTCTCATGCATCCTACCCCTGGCGGCATTTGGCATGGCAGCCTTCCATCAGCATTTGTAGCATAGAGTGGAATTGAATTAGGATCCAACAGAAAGGAGGCCAAGGAGGGAGGAACCAGGGTGAAGGCGGAAAACCCATTACAATGAGGACTGAGTGCTCCAGCCAGGTGCCGGGTCCCCCACTTCTGTCTGTTGGCCCAGTCCCTCACATGGCTCCCTCTTGCAGGTCCATCGACACCTCAGGAGCTAAGGAGGTGCCGGGGTTTGCTTGTTTCCTCTCAGCCGGGGACATTCCTGGGAGCAACGTCACGGGGCTTTGTAATGATGAAACTGTCTTTGCCAAGGATGAGGTGGGTCTTGGATTTTTTTTTAATATGAAGTAAATGGAGCCTGTAGCTCCACATTAATCTTGAAATATTATAAATGTGCGTGCTTTGAGGCCATCATCCAACTGGTCTGTATTCATGACTCATCACAAGAGAATAGAGTATATTACTTGTTTATTTAATTGATGGTTGCTGTTTGTACACAGTAGGATGGCTCCAGGCCAAAGTAGCAGTAAAACAAGGCTGGTGATTGCATTTGAGTTAACACTTGGGTTCTTAAGGTACAAGCTCCATTATTAAAAAAAAAAAAAAAGGGAGTATACTAACTAAATAAACTAACCAGAAATCACAATGGCAACACTATGTGCATTAATAACTCACTTATATAAACTTATATGGACATTTATCTACCAATTTCAATGTGTGGAATTCTGCAATGGCCACAAAATGTTTTCAAACATTCAAGACAGCTGCTACAAAACTCCTTATACGGTGCTCACCGGATAGCTCATAGACAGTCATTTTATAATCTTAATAGGGATCAAATGTTGCACATTAGACACGAGTGGATGTTTCTGAAGGGTCAATTCACCTGATTGTCGATGTAAAAGTAAAAGACATGACAGAGACCTGTAACTGTGAGACACGAAGACTCCCCAGGGAGAGCATTTGGGAGGGGAACAGACTGCTTCCCAGACTTCCAGAGTCTCTGGGAGCTCTGTGGGCATTAACTAGCTAAGCCACAACTTCATGGGGCCTCTACACATGCCTGTAGGGTATTGCTTCCTATTGTCAGGAACCTTGTATTCCAAAGTGATGCCTTGGACAATTTTTTGTTGCTAATTTTTTGGGGGGATGGCGAATGAAAATTATCCCTACAGGTGATCCAGTAAGCTTTGACGGAGCCGAGTCATTAAAAGAAAACATCAATCATTATTAGATCCAATGAGAAAAAGAAAAAGAAAAAAAGAGTCTTGTTTAGGGCCATCAAGTCTAAGAACCAGCTACGGCTCTTGGGCATCCAGACGAAGCACAAGGCATGATTGCAGACTTTGAGAGGCTTTTGGCCTACATCTGGGAACATCAGAGCCTGGGGTTTCATCACGGTCTAGTCACTAACTAATCGCGATCCTGCCCTCCGGGTCTCCATCTCTTCATCTGTAGACCACGAGGATTAGAGTAGATCCAAATTGCCCAACACGCTGCCTGGTGCCATGGCTCCCCCTCTGCTCATGGCAGACATCAACCATCCATCGCCACATCCCACCCAGTGCAGCTTCTCCGTAGGTGGCCAGTGCTAAGTAATCAGGTTGGCCTTGAGATGAAATCTGTTTGCTATGCTGACCCTAGTGGTCTTTAAGACCTATGCCAGCTCTGAGCACTTGGAAGAGGCACAGAGCCTCAATGAGTAGGACAGAAAACCCTGGGATATTCCTAGAATGTGCTGTGATTGTGAGGGCAGGGACTTCTTTTGCTATTTAAGAATCCAAAAACAGCCGGACTCGGTGGCTCAGCCTGTAATCCCGCGCCTTTGGGAGGCTGAGGTGAGTGGATTGCCTGAGCCCGCGGGTTCGAGACCCGCCTGGGCAGGAGACCTCATCTCTACAATAAATCAAAAAATCAGCCGGGTGTGGTAGTGCATGCCTGTAATTCCAGCTACTTGGAAGGCTGAGGCGGAAGGATCGCCGGAGCCCAGCAGGTCGAGGCTGCGGTGACCGGGAGCGGCCACTGCACTCCAGTCTGGGCGACAGAGTGAGACTCCAACTAAAAAAAAAAAAGAAAAGAAAAGAATCCAAAAACCATCTGTTTCACGAGAAGCTTAGTTACGCCCTTGAACCACCTGTCTCTGCTCCAGGTGACTTGTGTTGGGCACATCATTGGTGCTGTGCTTGCAGACACCCCAGAACACGCACAGAGAGCTGCTCTAGGGGTGAAAGTCACCTACGAGGACCTTCCCGCCATCATCACGATCGAGGTAACTAAGGATGGGTTGCCTGTGTAGCGGAGAGAGCGCCCTGTCCCTGAAGGCACATTTATTAGGATGTATAGAGGAGATTTGGGCAGCAGATAGGGATTTGACTAGATGGGCTATTAAATCCCTTCCAAGGTCCACCTGGCTAGCTCAGTGGGTAGAACACAAGACTCTTAAAATCCCTTCCGAAGCTGGGATTTCTGATCCAATGAAACCTTCCTCTTTAAGATCTTAAACTCAGTCTGCTATCAGTCAAGTCAGGTTCCTTCTTCCCCAAGTTTCAGCTCCAATTGGTTGTGGGATTCTCTGCTTTTCCTCAGGATCCAGGGTTGTCCGTCTACAGCTGGGGGAATGGAGGAATTTGACTCTCTGGGCTGCAACAGAGCTTCCTTTAGGTCTCTACAGGACGCTTAGAGAGAGTAGTGCATGGGAAGAGAGAGGTACCGATTCAGAGAGCATCTTCTCCCAGTCAGAAACCGCCATCTTCCCTCTAAGAGTTCAGTTGCTGAAGCTTCTTTTTGATTTTCAGGATGCTATAAAGAACAACTCTTTTTATGGATTTGAGCTGAAGATCGAGAAAGGAGACCTCAAGAAGGGGTTTTCCGAAGCAGACAATGTGGTTTCAGGTATAGCTGCACCATGTGGCTGCAGGGATGTGTGAATTAAAACCAAGAGCTATAGGTTGCACCTGGAAACCAGGAGGCCCTTTCAGACATTCAAAACATTTTCTAACAGAAGGTTCCCTCTGATGTTTATAATAAAAGAATAGACAGTTGATTGGGAAACTGTTCAGTCATCTTAATCGCCACTCTCCTGTCCTAGGCTGGATCTAGATGAATTAGAAGATTCTAGTGTCTTCTGATTTGAAAAACTGTCTTGGGAGAATAATGGCCACAGATGCCTGGCCTGCTTGGGCTGGCCAGGCCTCTAACTACACACTCTTACCTGAAAGCGGTCCCTGCCCTCCCTCCTACCTCTTCCCTCTGCCCTTCCATCCCCCTCAACCCGCCCTGAGAAGTCAGTTCACCCAGGACAAGCTGCCGATGGGCCTCTTTGGGAACTGGGGCCCTTTGGAAAATGATTTCTTCATTGGCTGTTGGGCTTTGTTAAGCCCCTGCGAAGCCAGCTCTCCCGTAGATCTGGCAGCTTCACCTCTGGAAAATGCTCTTGCTTTCATCTTTGTAATCATATCTGTTAATTCCTTCTCTACTTTCACCAACATTTTACAATGACAGTTTTAGAAATCCTTGATTTCCACTAGCTGCAGTGAGAAGAGAACTTTGCGCCTGATGCATTTCAGCGTCGCTCTGGGTCTTTGTTGTGGGGGCGGGCACTTGGTTCCCAGATGGCCAAGACTGTGGGATCCTTTTCCACCCTGGTGGGGAACCCTGAGGTTTCCTGGGACCGGTTGGTTCCTGCCCAGGCTGCGTGCACTCTCGCTAAGCAAGCTGGCCCCTCTCAGCATCAAGCTCACTTGAGGATCTTGCTGCTTTCTCAGGGGAGTTGTACATTGGTGGTCAGGAGCACTTCTACCTGGAGACTAACTGCACCATTGCTGTCCCGAAAGGGGAGGCAGGGGAGATGGAGCTCTTTGTGTCTACACAGAACACCACGAAGACCCAGGTAGACGTCCTGTGGGTCAGCTCAAGAGGCTGGAGAGGGCAGGGAGAGCACCTGGCAGACCAGGAGGGCAGGGTGGGATGTGGGGAGAGGGATACCTGGGCTGGTCTAGACGGGGATTTGAAAGTCGTGGTCCTGGTGCCAGATGGTCACCCACAGTGGGTGACACTCACTCTCCTCATCTATAAAATGGGTCCTGGGTGGATTGTTGTACTAATAAGATAAGCCTTAATACTTAGCTCAGAGCCTGGTGAGTGTTGGCTGCTATCATTCCAATGATATCCGGGAAGTGATATCCTGCCTGTCTCCTCATCTGTAAAAGGATAGGGCCGACAGTCTCAGGGCCCACTCAGTTGTCTACAGTAGCTCAAATATTCCCCATTTCCCCATGGCTGTGATGCGACAGGGGTGGTCAGTATTTTTGGCAGCTGGCTCTACCCTCATGACCAGCAGTTCTGGCCACATGGGATGAGTTCCCAAAAGGGTGCGATGACCAGCTAGCTGCTGGCCCTGGTTAAAACACGGGAGGGATTCAGCCTACAGCAACTGATGAGTGCTGGACTACAGCACCGCCACCTACAAGGCTATGTGGGGATTTTGTACTAAGGAACTTCCTAGCTCGCAACAGTAATTAGGCCCGTGCTTATTGGGCAGGCTCTGGGGCAGACCTGAAATAAGTCCAGAGGGCACGCTCAGTGCGAGTGTTTTACCTTTCGTCCACAGAGCTTTGTTGCAAAAATGTTGGGGGTCTCAGCCAACCGGATTTTGGTCCGAGTGAAGAGAATGGGAGGAGGCTTTGGAGGGAAGGAATCCCGGAGCACCGTGGTGTCCACGGCGGTGGCCCTGGCTGCATATAAGTGAGTTTCAAGGCCTGCTTCTCTCAGCTGGCTCCCCAGAAGAATGAGAAGGCAGCCTCCACCAGGAAGGCTTTCTGGGTTTCTCCCTCTTGTAATTCGTTTCCCCCGGCTTTGAGTCCTCACAGCCCTCTGTTTTTAGAATACTTGGGCACAGGGCCAGGGTGACATCACCTGTTTCTTTGTGTCGTGGCACCTGTGCCCACATCTGATCTCCCCTACCCCGCCATGAGCTCTCCAAGGATGTCACGTGTCTCACATCCTTACATTCCCACTGGATCTGTGGGTGTGCAGGCGGAAGAGGCAGCTTTCTGTGGGTGTCACCCCTGGGGCTCCCTGGGCGGGCTGTTGTGGAAGGCTTGCAGGGTTCTAACCCTCTTGATGCCCCCAGGACTGGACGCCCTGTACGCTGCATGCTGGATCGTAACGAGGACATGCTGATAACGGGCGGCAGACATCCCTTCCTGGCCCGATACAAGGTTCTAGTTGCTGGGGCTGTGCAGCGCATTTGGGAGGAGACCTGGGCGGAAGGTCCGGGCGTGCTGGCCTGCACTCCTGCTTTTCTCCTGATGATCTGTAGAAGTTTTAAGAAGTAGCGAGGAGGGAAATTGAAAGAGGCCACCAGCCACTTAGAAGGGTGAAACCAGGTTGCTGGCAGGCCATGCCGAGGGTGGCACTCACAGCTTCTGGGAATTTGCTATGGTCCAAAGCTGGTCCTTGGCCATTCAGAGACGTGACTTGTCAGCAGACCCAGAGTAAGCCCCTTGCACTGGGTAGCCCAAGTGTGAACATGTCCACAGGCCTGACGTCAAACTCAGAATGATGGCTTAGTAACCCTCAGTGAGAAATAACACTTCCCAGGGGTCTGGGTGGGTGCAGGTTGTTAGGGTGAGACCATGGTTGGGCACTGCCCATGCCTTTCTCTGGGACAGTCGCTTTTTTGGGATGCTGTGGGTGACCAATGCACCCCTTCCCCACACACACTGGTGCAGCCTTCCTGGGTCCAGTCCAGCCCTGGAAGCCTGGGAGCTGTCTCTCTCATCAAATTGGCCTTGAATCTTCCCTTTGATCTATTCTAATTTTACCTCATGATCTAACTCCCAAAAAGGGATTGTATTAATCCCAAATCTTTGTGGGCCTGAAGAGACCCCAGCTTCCGTGCTTGCAAAATGGCCAGTAAAGGGTATTTGGGGTGGGGGCATGAAGTCAAAGACGGCCAAGCACATTCATGCCCGTGCTGAGTGTGACTGTTGCATCTGCTGACCTGTGTGGAGCTGCACCAGCACCTTTTCTGGTTCCTCTTCCCGGGCCTCCCTCTCTGCCCTGTTATGACCAACTCTCTCTCTCTCTGGCCTCCTGGCTCACTCTCTTAGTACTGGAACTAGGGAGTAGGGAACCAGAAGGAGGAGCGTGGGGATGAGTGTATCAGGGCCAAGGAGACAGCGCACACCACCAGGGAGATGTCTGTTCCTCTTCCTTCACCTGCACATGACCCTGTCACCTTTTTTCCATGGTGTGATGGCTCGATCATTCTGTTTCCTCCAGGCAGCCTGAGTGAGAGGGGGTCAGTGACCGGCAGAGGAGGGGCCTACTGAGAGTCACTTCCTTTTTTCAGGTGGGCTTCATGAAGACGGGGAAGGTGGTAGCCCTGGAGGTGGAACACTTCAGCAACGCAGGCAACACCCAGGACCTCTCTCAGGGTGTAAGTAGGACCTGCACCCACCTACCCCTGGGGAGACTAGGAGGTCTGGGGTGTGCCCCAGAGCTGGTGCCTATTTCTGCCTGATCTTGCCACTCTAGCCTCCTAAGGGGTTCCCTCCTCCAGGTTTTCATCCTTTACTACTCTGTAAAGCACAGAGACAATCGCATGACTTCTTTGATTGGAAACCCATCCTTCTTGTTTGAGATGTTTTGCCAAGCTAGCAGAGTTAGTTACAGAGCTTTATGTGTAGTGTGTATGGTGGCATTGTGCGTGTGTGTGCACGTGTGTTGATATGCAATAGCAATATACATACACATGCCGATGATATGCATGGAAAAAGTCTGAAAGAACATATGCCAAGCTGTTGGCAGTGGTCAACAGTTGTTAACAATGGCTGGTGTGGTACTGGAAAGGCAAACACTATCTGTGTCTTTGTTACACATTACTGTGATGTTTTAATTCTAAACAACAAGTTGAATTGCTTTAAAAAATACCAGTTTTATTGAACTGCAGTTTGCATGCCATAAAGTGATTTACTGGAAGTGTCTAATTTAATGGTCATTAGTGAATTTCAAGAGTTGTGCAAGCAAGATCCCAATCTAGCTTTTGATCTGCTGTTCCCATTTGCAGTCAGTCCTGCTTCCATTTCCAGGTCCAGGGAACCATTGTTCTACTTTCTGTCTTTATAGATTTCCCTTTTGCAGCCCAGTTGTGTGAGTAGAACCATGCTGTCTTTTGTGTGTGGTTCTTTCTCTTGGGATTACGTTTTGGTGGTTCATCTATGTGATGGCATGTATTAGCATCTTCGTCCTTTTCATTGATGAATACTATTCCATTGTGTGGATATTCCATATTTCATTTCCCATTTTTGCCTAATGGACACGGGTTGTTTCTAGTCTTTAGTTTTTCTGCGTAATATTGGTCTGATCATTCTTGTACTGATCTTGTGTAGAAATAGATTTTTACTTCTCTTGAGTAAATTCCCCGGAGTAGAATTTCTGAATCTGGGGTGAGCTCAACAGTATAAGAAATGATCTAATTATTTTCTAAAGTGACTGCACCATTTTCCATTCCAAACAACAATGTGTGGCGTTCCATTTTCTCCACAAGATATTTATTCACATGGTGCTGTCTTTCTTTTGATTTCTGACATTCTAGTGGGTGTAAAGTGATATCTCATTGTGTTTTTTTTTTTTGAAAGCAGGATTTATTGAGAGGACAGAAAAGCTCCCACAGTGGGAGGGGACCCAAGGGGGTTGCCCCTCATTGTGGTTTTAAATTGTGTTTCTCTAAGGACTAATAATGCTGTCTATTTTTGTGGGTGCTAACTGGCTGTTCATCTGGTTTCTTTGGTGAAATATTTATTCAAATATTTTGCCCATTTTAAAATTGAGTTATTTGTCTTCTTTGTATTACATTGTGTTACTTCTCTATGTATTTTGGGCATAAGTCCTTTATCAAATACATGATTTGCCCTCCCATGACTTTGTACATGACATTCTTTGTCCCTAAAGCACACTTCTCTTCCAACTCCATCTAGTGGACTATTCTTTATTATTTAGAGCAAACATTATCTTAGTTCCTTATACCTTTCTCTACTTACAGCACTTATCACCTCAAACCATGGTTATAAGTCAAATTTTTGGTCTCTCCTCCTGGGTTGTAGACTCTTTAATAGCAGCAGGTATCTCTTATGCTTCACAACCCCAACGTTTCCCATGATGTCTGCACACAATGGACACTTTGAAAACCACTCGTTGATTGGAACGATGAATACATGATTGACCTTAGTGGTAAGTTGTGTCTTTCCAGTTGAAGTGGGATTCAGAGAACCCGGATCCTATGTTATTCTTTGGGTCATTTTAGTACCAAGCAGCACCACTTCCTTATCTGTAATTTACCAGCCAAGATCATACTGTACTTTGTTGAATTAAATTTTTTATTTTGAGATAGTTGCAGATTAGCATACAATTGTGAGAAATAATACAGAGAATCCCACACACGTGCTGTCTATGCTCGTCAGTGAAATGTCTGTTCATATCTGTTGTCCTTTTTCTAATTGGACTTTTTAACCCATTTTCTTCTGAAGATTACATTTTTTAATATGATAATATGATATTGCTACCAGGACACCATCAGAATGCAGAGCACTTCCAACAACACCAAGATCCTTTGTATCACTGTGTCACAGTCACACCCACTCCCCTCACTCCCCCGCCACCCTCATTTCTTCCTCAGCCCCTGGCAACCACCAGTCTGTTTGCCATTTCTATTAATTTTGTCATTCTGAGAACGTCCTATAAATGGAATCAAATAATTAATAACCTTTTGAGATTGAGTTTTTTCACTCAGCTTAATGCTCTGGAGATCCATCCAAGTCATATAAGTCAATTATTTTTTTCTTTTTATTGTTCTATAATATCCCACGGTATCGACAGACCATAGCTTGTTTAACCATTCTCCCAGTGAAGAATATTTGGGTTGTTTCCAAGTTTTTGGCTACTACAAAACTGCTACAAATCTTTGCGCGTCATTTTTGATATTTTGAACACTGAGTCAACTGCTACCCCTGGAATAAATCCAACCCAGTCATGGCATAATTAATGTATTAATGCATTCTATTTACTCATATTTTCTTAAGGATTTTTCACCTATTTCATGAAGACTATTGTTCTGTAGTTTTCTTTTATTGTATTGTCTTAGTCTGATTCTGGGGGTGTCAGCCTAACACCAGCTTCATGAAGTAAGTTAGAATTTCTCTTCTAATTTTAGAAGTGATTGTGTAGCCTTGATGCTAATTCTTCTTTAAGTGTTTGGTAGAATTTTCAGTGAACTTATTTGGACCTGAAGACTTCTTTTCTGGGAGCTTTAAAACTACCTATTAAATTTCCTTAATAGTTATAGGACTACCTAAATTATCTATTTCATATTGAAGTGGTAGTTTTGAATCTTGAGACAATGATTTTTAAAAAAAAAATCTATTTCTAATTATGTATTTTTATATATATAGTATATATAATATATTATATAATATATCTAATTATTTATTTATATACTACTTGTATATATTTATAGAGTACATGTGATATTTTGATACAAGTGTACAGTGTGTAATAAAAAAATCAGGGTAATTGAGGCATTCATCACCTCAAGCATTGATCATTTCTTTGTGTTAGGAATGTTCCAGTTCCACTCTTTTAATTATTTTTGACTATCCAGTAAATCACTGTTAACTGTAGTCACCACACTGTGCTACTGTATACCAGGTCTTATACATTCTATCTAACTGTATTTTTGTACACATTCTCCATTCCCACTTATCTCTTGTTCCCTGCTACCCTTCCCAGCCTCTGGCAAATGTCATTCAACTCTATCTCCATAAGTTCAACAGAATTTTGTCTAAGTTATAAAAAAAAAAGTATGTGTGTAGAGTTGTTCATAGTAGTCCTTATTGTTTCTTTGATGTCTTCAGGGTCTGTAGTGATATCCTCTGTTTCAGTCCTGATATTGGTCATTGTAGTCTCTCTGTTTTTCTTTGTTTTGCCGGAGGTTTGTCAACTTTATTGATCTTTTTAAAAACCAGGTTTTGTTTCACTGAATTTTTCCCCCATTGTTTTTGTTTTGAGTCTCACTGATTTCTGTTCTTGTCCTCATGATTTCCTTCATTCTGTTTGCTTTTATTTTATTTTGTTACTCTTTTTCTAGATTCTTGAGGTGGAAGTGTACATTTTTAATGTGCGATTGTTTTTCTTTATTTTAATGTATTCAATTTCATGTTAGAAAGTTTTCTCTCAACACTACTTTAGTTGGGTCTCACAGGTTTGGGCATGTTGTATTTCATTTTCTTTCTTGTGTTTTTTGTTTCCCTGATACTCTTTGATCCCTGGATTATTTAAAATGTGCTGTTTCGCTTTCAAGTATAGAGATTTTTCTATTCTGTTTCTATCCTGAGACTTTCTATTGATTTCTGGTTTTATTCCATTTCAGTTGAAGAAAACATTCCATATGAATTCAATCCTTTTAAGTTTGTTGAGGTTTGTGTTATGGCCCAGGATGAGATCTGTGTTAATATAAGTTACTACGGGCACTTAAACAGAATGTGTATTTTGTGGTTGTTGGGTTGTGTATTACTTTCCTGTGACTGATACAACAAATGACTACAAATTGGGTGGCTTAATATAATAAAAATTCATTTTCTCACAGTTCTAGGGGCCAGAAGTCTGAAATCAAGGTGTTGGCAGGACCATTCTCTCTCTGGAAGGTCTAGGGGGAAATTAATTCTCTGTGAGAATTGACAAATTTATCTTGGTAGTACTACTTTTTAGAGCTGCTTAAATTTTAATTTTAGAAGCATACCAGTTGCATATGTATAATATATATACAAAATAAACTTAAGCATTCCAAGGAAGCAGAAGGTCCCCATTGTCGCATCATCCCCTGCTAGGGGATGTCTAATTGGCTCAGTTAGGAAATGTCACACTTCAGGTCTCATGTTAAAACTGTTCAAAAGAGAATATATCTCTAGTGGAATAAGAAATATTCTAGGAAATATTCTAGCTCTCACTACATCTAAGACATGCTTTTCTGGCATGAGAAAAATCAGCTTGAAAACCATACAGTACTTGTCCCTAGAGATCTAACAGGATTTTTAAAATTTAATACAGCAGATATTTATTAAGTCTCTGAGGTGGCAACATAAAATAAGAATATGATGTTGTTTTTGCCCTCAAGAAGTTCACAATATGAAAGAGGAAACAGACCATACAAGGAGAAGGATACAGAAATACAAGTTGACACAGTGCTAAGGGAAAGCACAAATGGAATTAATGGAGGCACAGAAAAAGAATCTAGGATGACTAAGACTGAAATTTTCAAAGACGCAGAAAGCAATGTGTGGGAAAGACAGACTGTACATGGGGAAATAAACTAAAACCAAAATGAAACAAACAACCAAAAAGAAAGCTGCCACTTATCTTCTGAGAGATGAGGTATTGTACCTTAAAGAAAGAACAGAATGTTATTAAAATGGAGCAGTTCAAGAATAAAAATGAACTTTTGTGAATTAAAACTAAGAAGGCAGAGAGGTTGAAAGAAACTTGAGAAATCTCTCCAAAAGGGAAAAGGAATGTGGAAAAATAGAAGAGAAAATACAAGAAAAATGGAGGACCAGACCAAGAGGTTCAAAAATAGAAGTTTCAGAAAGAAAGAAAATGGGGGAAAAATAAAGGAGAGGAAGTTATCGTGA